ATTCCTCCCTTGCTTCCATCGGAACGAATCTTGGATTTGTCTTCCTGCCAGTAGAATACCTTGTCCTTCACCTGAAGAGGCTTAGAACTCATTCGGAGATTTTGAGCAAGGTCTCGTCGGATGTCTTTGGATTGACGTGCTTCTTGGAATGCTTGCTTGGACAGCTGCTTGATCTGGATGGCTTTCAGCTCTTCTTCATTCCTGTCAATCGTCAACTGAGTTGGTGTTGCGACATCGAGTTGGATGAGATCTGCTGGTCGTCTTCCGAATGCGAGCTCCAATGGTGTTACACCCCCGTAGGTGACAGTCTGATTCCTGACAGTTGCAGCGGCCTTCACTAGCTGTCTGTATGTCACTTTCTTCAGTGTTGCAGGTGCTGTACCTGCCTTGATGGAACTTAGCATGATCTTGAGTTGTGCCTTCAGGAGTCGAACTGCTGCTTCAGCTCGATTTGGCCATGGTGTGTTCGGTCCCAAGGATATCGGCGTGATGTCAAGGGACTGATAGAAATGTTCCCATGTCTCTGTCATGAAGGCTTGATCTGCGACAACTGACTTGGGCTGCAAGTGGTACTGGTCAAAATAGTTCCTGAGGACAGTGATGTTCTCGACTTCTTGCGTAGTTGTCACTGCCTCTGCAGTGAGCAATGTTGTTGCTCCATCCAGGATGACAAAAACAATGATGTGTTCTCCTGTTCCAAGAGGAACTTGCCAGTGATCAATGAATGTCATGTCACCAAAGGTGTCCGCTCTAAGTCCACTCGTCTTGCTTCGTGATGGCGCATGTTTTGCCGCTTGGCAAACTTCACATTCACTTCGGATTTTGTCAAATAGATCGAATGTTGATTTCGGCAGATGAAGTGAGCGAGTTCTAAATCGAAATTGATCTGTTGTCATGTGGTGATGCTGGAGGTGGAGCTTCTTCAACTCTTCGGGATTTGACAATCGCTTGTGGATTTTGCCTAGTGCAAGCGGAAGCGTTGTTGGCTGTTCTGAGGATGGTGCGAAAGGATCTGGCGCAATGGTCGACCGGCCCTTTTTGTCGATGATCCTCGAGCCTGCTTCTTCGTCCTTAAGCGAATTGTCCGCGAAGGTGAAAATGGTCTTACCTATCCACAGGTAGGATGTCTGGATCTCCACCTTCGGATGCATCAATGTTTCCGTAGTACGCTCTCGGCTTATGTTATCAGGATTGATTGGACGTTCCTTGGCTCCATTTGGTGTGAAAAGTGCCTTTCGAGGCGTGATGTGCGCACGGATGAGCTGCTTGTTCTTCTTGTCAAGGATCCAATGGTCCTGCTTCTGAGACCCAATGATTTTAAGAGTTGCTAGGTCCTCCTTCGTCTCGGATGATTTTGCTGCACAAACAGTTTCAGTCTTGGAGATAGCCCCGGAGGGAAACTTGATGCTGTTGTCATCATCGTAGACGTAGTTGGTGAGGCCCTTCTGAGCAATTTCTCCATGTGCTTTCACTCTTGCAACTCCAGCGAGATCGACGAGTGCATGTCCTGTACCGGATACTGGAACTGCTTGACGGTTCATGCCAAAAGCCTTGCATGTGATCTTGTCACATTGAGGTGTGTGCTGGATGGTCATGCAGAGGTTCCGCATCTGACTGATGCTGAGAAGGATCGGTACAGTTCGTTGTTCAAGGACGTCGATGTTGGTACTGCATGGAGGAGTTGTGTGATATCGAAGATGCAGGGTCCAATTTACCCTGGCGGTCTCTCCGTTTGCAACAGTGAACTTGGTCTCGGCCGGGATGTACTGATAGGAGATGATGTCCTTCATTGGTTCGATGGCCTGAGTAAAACGCTGGATTGCATGCCAGCTGCCCATAGATCTGGTGCATCCGTTGTCCAGGATCGCATAGGTCGGATTGTGCTGAGGGTTGATGACAGGCGCCATCAGCTTTGTTGCCAAAAGGCTGTGATTTGTTGTGACGGACAAATTGTGTTCTGAAACTGTATCTGATTGGATCAGCTTCCCGTGGATGGCCTCTTTCTCATGATGCTCATATGCGCCATGGAATGCCATTAGCGCTTGTCCTGTGCTGGATGTTGTTTTCTTTCCCTTTTTTCCTTTGCCTTTTCCCCAAGATGCCTGGTCGTAGGGATCATAGTTCTCATTGGCCATACTGGCCTTCCTGCCAGAACCGCTTTTTCTGAAGGGTTTAAAGCCACCTCGTTGGTGACTGCCCTTTTTTTCTCCCTGATTTTCCTTTTCCTTTTCTCTTCTTGAATCTGAAATTCAGCCCTGACACTTTTCTTGCGATGAACACATCGTTCTCCTTGAGGACCCAGAATGTCTCTTCATCGTTGTTTGACATGAATCCTTCAAGTCCTTCTTCATCCTCAACCCAGAAGCCTTCTTCTCCTTCATATTCACCTTGTTCGATGATGAAGAATGTGTTGCTTCGGTTGCCTCCTTGAGGTCGGATGGATGGATCTTGAATGGATATCCTGGTCGTGATGAAGAGTTCATGGTAGTGCGTCTTCAGCATCTCATAGGAGTAGTTCTCTAGTGAAATGTTTCTCAATGACATGGCACTTGTCAGTCTTTCTCTCTGGTGATCTGACATTCACTTTGTATGATGAAAAACTGCGCAATGAGATTATCCCCGAAGGGAAATGCGTCCCGCTGTCTGTCCTGCATTCCCGTGATATACTGTCTGAGGACTGTTGGATCTTCCTCATTGAGCAGGACTGGAGGCGGTGCTCGAACACCGGCTGCTTGCTGATGTCGAGCAATTGTTCTTGCGTTTGCTTCCTGTACGGACTGTCGAAATGATGGGGACTGTGCCGTGAAAACTGGCATCAAGTCCATCCATGCTGCCTTCAATCTCATGAGAAGGATTTCGAATTTTGAGGTAAAAATGAGGAACTCTTGGTTCTGCCTTCTATGATTGAAGAAACTGAGGAGCCTGTACAGATACACGTTGGTCGCACCTTTCAAAAAGTACTTCTTCAGCGTGTTCTTGAAGTAGTTGACTCCTTCATTAGGATCTTGCAAAAGGTCATTTTGGAGGACTGCCTTGTACATATAGGCATCTCCTGTGAGTCTGCTTTAAGCAGAGGTCCTCTTGGGTGCTTCCACTGTTGTGATTGTCACCCAGTCGTCCACGAGTTCTTCATACCTAAACCAGCAGACTTTTCCGTCGTACGATGGCGGCTGCTTGGCGGTCATCGATAAATTGAGTGTTTCCGGGGTGCCTATCCCAGAAGGGAACTGGTACCCTGTGGTAGTAGAGGTCGTTGTTTTGGTTTCTGGATCTATTCCGGAGAGAGTCCAACATACCAATATGGATGATTGGAGGATGGATTGTCCCTGGTGGCTTGTATTGACTGTTATTCCTGTAAGCGGTCTCTGCAAGCCTTTGTACTGCTATCGCATTAGTGCAATACGCTATTTACAAGAGGGCCTTGAGCCAAAATGGGTAACGGCGTGTGTAGAAAGGTCAATTGGTGTAACCAAAAGCAACACAAGGGGGGGTGGTTCACGCCCAGCTGATTTCAAGCTTTCGGCAACCCCAAGAAAGCACCGATGCCCCGAGAAAAAAACACACATATATATATATAAATAAATATGTGTGTGTGTGTGTGTCTGTGTCTGTGTCTGTGTCTGTGTCTGTGTCTGTGTCTGTGTCTGTGTCTGTGTCTGTGTCTGTGTCTGTGAATGTGTAAGTAGATCACGCCTTGCTCACACAGTGCTGACATGTCTGGAGGATTGGTCATGTATACACACAAACAAGTCAATTAATAAATTCTGGGGGGGGGGGGGTTGGGGGAGGCGTTTCTAAGTGTTCACCCCCAGCTGATTTGAAGCTTCCGGCAACCCCAAAGAAAACACCAATGTTGGTCTATATATATATACATATATGTGTGTGTGTTTGTGCAAGTAGATCATGCCTTGCTCAGACAGTGCTGACATGTATGGAGTATTGGTCATGTAAACCAACAAGCAAGTCCAATTGGTAGACTTGGGGGGGGGGGTTGGGGGAGGCGTTTCTCAGTGTTCACCCCCAGCTGATTTCAAGCTTCCGGCAACCCCAAGAAAGCAGCGATGCCCCCATGACGAAGGTCTATATATATATATAAATATGTGTGTGTGTGTGTTTGTGTAAGTAGATCATGCCTTGCTCGCACAGTGCTGACATGTATGGAGAAATGGGCATGTATACCCACAAACAAGTCCAATTGGTAGACTCTGGGGGGGGGAGGTGTTTCTAAGTGTTCACCCCCAGCTGATTTCAAGCTTCCGGCAACCCTAGGAAACCATTTCATTAACCTTCTGATTTGTTTCATTATTGTCCATGGTGTCGCGCAGTTTTTTCCCGTTGTTTTCTGTTGAAACAAGGAAGTGATGAACACATGATGAAAACAGATGATGTTCATGGGAAGTTCTGAAAACAAAAAATGCCAGCAAATCATCATTTGTTTATCATTGTTCATTGTTTCATCATTTGCATACTGTGCTCATTTTGGTTCATCATTGTTTCATCGTCTCGTCATTTGTTTATCTTTTTTTAGTTTTTTCGTGATTTGTAGGTTGTCTTTTGTCTGGCTGCCCGAAGATCTCTTAAGTCTATCATGTGTGCTGTGTGCCTGATTCATTGTGTACATATATATAGTTCCGCTGTTTTTTTCTTGCATGGTCGACTCTTTTCTCTCTCGGGGCAACGCCCGTGACCAATGCTTAGAAGCCGCAGGTACCTCTCGGGCAACACTTAGAAACGTTTCTAAGTTTTTGACGGCTGGTAATATGCATCAGAATCGCTATAAAGGCGAAAAAAAACGTTTCTAATTGTTGGTCGGCCGAACCGTTTCTAAGTGTTGAATTTACTGTTTTTCATTTTTTTCGTTTGTAAGTGTTTGTCGGAATTTTTGGAAACCAAAACGGTTTCTAAGTGTTTGTCCGGCACTAGACAGACGCACACACGCACCCAACTGCATAGCGCAGCTCGCGGCTGACACGTTCCTTTTTTGGTTGTTAATGTTTTTTGGCTGATGGCGTTTCAGGCCAGCTGCGCGCCGCTCAAGGCGTGTTGGGGAGAAGCCAAGATCTGCAAGATGCAGAATCCGCCAGGCTCATGAGGTGCTCTTGAGCTTCTGGCCTTTCAAGGCTCACTTCGTGTGCACATGTCGCCAGTGAAGACTGTGGTGGGAACACTTGCACCTGAATGTTCAATTTGTCTGGCTTCAAGGCGGGTTGCTCGTCTCGCTTGCTGAAAGTGCCTGCCTTGCACCGGAGCTTGGGCGTGCCCGCTCTGATATGTGTGGCGCCACTTGGATGCACCAATGCAAATTCTGCACCATGGCCGGCTTGTTGTATTCTAATTCAATGGCGTTTGAGGGCTATACGTTCACGTGGCCGCAAGGCTGGCGGATCACTCCCTCTGTTTGATTTGGGCGTAGAACCTGTAGGCTCGGATTTGCCGACCTGCAGAAAATGTCGAGCAGATCAGGCCGGCCAGCCCTTTTTCTGGATTGCTTTGAGCCTTGCACTGCGCCGCCAGGCTCAATGAAGCGGATCTCACAGGATTCAGGAAGGACCCCGCACTGAGAGGCGCACCAATGCAAACTCCGTGGCTGCCAGGACTTCTTTGAATTGTTTACGCACGAGGAGGCCTCAGTTTTTTTGTTTCGCTGAGGCAACTTGTATTTTTTGGCATGCAGGACTTCCTGTGGAATGCCATGACGCATCCAAGGCAGACAGAGCTTGAGCCTTGTCATGGACACACTTACTTTCTGAGTGATCGAACTCTAAGGAGAGCCGTGTCTCGCTGCTTCAAGTTGGTGGTGAAGTGGCTTCCAGAGGAGGCGTGGCGAGGAAGATTAGATTTCTGCAGGGCTTGCGTCATTTGATTTTGGTCCAGGCTTTACATGCCCTGCTGCGCCTCTTTGTCGATGTGGACGCGGCGCCTGCGATTTGGATCTCCGGGCTTGCGCTTGATGTTGACATCCCGCCAACACCTGCGCTTCCGGGAGACTTCCGCTTGCCTGTGAGCGAGGCGCGAGTGACTGAGTTGGGCCACGGGGCATGGCTTACAAAAGCCGCTTGCAACATTTTCCATACGAAGCCAATCCAAAACACAACAGCGCAAATGTGGAGCGACTGCATGATTTGCAAGGCCTGGCTACTCGGATTGGCAAGATGCCTCGGTATCCCCTACGGCATGCTTGGGTCAGCCACCCAGCTTTTCATCAATCTGGATTATTTACACGCTGACGCGACACAGCCGGCCACCGGGCACCTTGCCCTGCCCGTTCTGTCACTTCCCTTTCCTGTAAGTCCGATTAGTAGATGTTAAGATTTTCAGATTCTAAAAACTTTGAGATTCTAAGGGTCTCAGATTTGAAGACTGTCGGAATTTAAGGTTTCAATGGTTTAAGAATTAAGGTTTTAAGATTCAAAGATTTAAGGTTTTTGAAGGTTATAACAGCCAGGCCATTGCCCAGCCATTTTCCATCCATTATCAGATTTCGAAGGCTTTAAGATTTTATTTTTGTGAGATTTTCAGATTTGGCGACTTTCGGAATTTAAGATTTTAAGATCTTAAGATGTCAAGACTTCAAAATTTCAAGATTAAGAGTTTAAGGAATTTAAAATATAGCCCGGATTGAAGGAATTTTATTATATTTTACTTGTTTATGAATTTAAGATTTTCAGATTGCAATAGTTCGAGATTTAAAGAATTTAAGTTTTTGAAGCTTTTAAGATTCTGAGATTTTAAGATTTTGAGAATTTAGGAATTTCATATTTTAAGATTTTAACATCTGAAGATTCAACGACATGAGGGTTTTAAGAAGTCAAGATTCGAAGACTTGAGGATGTTTATATTGTCAGGTTGCAAGATTCTATCTTCTAAGGTTGTAATTTTAAGATCTTAAGGTTTCAAGATTTCAAAAATTCAAGATTAAGAGTTTAAGGAAGTTAAAATATAGCCCGGATTGAAGGAAGGTAATATTTTAATAATTTAAGATTTTCAGATTTCAATTGTTCGAGGTTTAAAGAATTTAAGTTTTTAAAGCTTTTTAAGATTCTGAGATTTTAAGATTGTAAGACTTTAGGAATTTCATATTTTAAGAGTTTAAGATCTCAAGATTCTAAGACATAAGGTTTTTAAGGTTTCAAGATTCGAAGACTTTAGGATATTTTTATATTTTCAGATCTTAAAAATTCTAAGTTCTAAGATTTTAAGATCTTGAGATTCTATCATTGATTGTTAGATTTTAATTTAAGATTTTAAGAATCTAAGACTTTAGGATTTTGAGTTTTCAATCCAGGCCATTTTCCATCCACTTAAAGATTTTAAGATTTTCAGGTTGCACGTTTTCGGCAAAATTGGCCCGACTTAGGGGTCAACATCCCCAGCATCACCCGCATCGCCTGCATGCATAACATCATCTGCATTATCCGGGATGATGCTGGCAATGCTGGGGGTGTTGTCCAGTATTAGGCATCCCTAAAAATACTCGGTTGTTGGGCGCTGCGGGGAGATGTTACAAAAATCGCCTAAACCAATCCGCAAACCCTTCGCCCCTTATAAGGGCGGGCCCAGCACAAAACGTATGCACATGTTCTGCGCATGGTCGGCGGCATGGGGCGCGCGGCCTTATACCTGAAGGTAAGCCCTGCGGGCTTTGGCCTGCGGCCATCACGTCCGGTGGCCGGATTTACACGCTGACGCGACACAGCCGGCCACCGCACGGCTTTTTGAGCATCTCCCCGCGGAGTCAAAAAAACGAGTGTTTTTTGGGGGGTGCCCATAGTGGACAACATCCCCGGCATCACCTGCATCATCCGCATCCTTGGCGGACATTGATGCGGATGATGCCGGTGATGCGGGGGATGCTGGGGATGTTGTCCCCGAAGTCGGGCCAACTTTGCCGAAAACGTGCAACCTGAAAATCTTAAAATCTTAAAGTGGATGGAAAATGGATGGAAAATGGCCTGGATTGAAATCTCAAAATCCTAAAGCCTTAGATTCTTAAAATCTTAAAATTAAAATCTAACAATCAATCTTAGAATCTCGAGATCTTAAAATCTTCGAACTTAGAATCTTAAAATCTGAAAATATAAAAACATCCTAAAGTCTCGGGGGATGCTGGGGATGTTGTCCCCTAAGTCGGGCCAACTTTGCCGAAAACGTGCAACCTGAAAATCTTAAAATCTTAAAGTGGATGGAAAATGGATGGAAAATGGCCTGGATTGAAATCTCAAAATCCTAAAGCTTAAAATCTGAAAATATAAAAACATCCTAAAGTCTCGGGGGATGCTGGGGATGTTGTCCCCTAAGTCGGGCCAACTTTGCCGAAAACGTGCAACCTGAAAATCTTAAAATCTTAAAGTGGATGGAAAACGGATGGAAAATGGCCTGGATTGAATTCTCAAAATCCTAAAGTCTTAGATTCTTAAAATCTTAAATTAAAGTCTAACAATCAATCTTAGAATCTCGAGATCTTAAAATCTTCGAACTTAGAATCTTAAAATCTGAATATATAAAAACATCCTAAAGTCTTCGAGTCTTGAAATCTTAAAACCCTTATGTCTTAGAATCTTGCGATCTTAAACTCTTAAAATATGAAATTCCTACAGTCTTAAACTCTTCCTCTTGAAATTTGGAATTCTTGAAACCTCAAGACCTTAAACTTACAACCTTAGAAGATCGAATCTTACAATCTGAAAATATAAACATCCTAAAGTCTTCGAATCTTGACTTCTTAAAACCCGACTATCTTTGAATCTTCAGATGTTAAAATCTATAAATATGAACTTCCTAAATTCTCAAAGTCTTAAAATCTCAGAATCTGAAAAGCTTTCAAAACTAAATTCTTTAAATCTCGAACTATTGCAATCTGAAAATCTTAACTTCATAAACAAGTAAAATATAATAAAATTCCTTCAATCCGGGCTATATTTTAAATTCCTTAAACTCTTAATCTTGAAACTTTGAAGCCTTGAAATCTTGAGATCTTAAAATCTTAAATTCCGAAAGTCGCCAAATCTGAAAATCTCCGAAAAATAAAATCTTAAAGCCTTCGAAATCTGATAATAGATGGAAAATGGCTGGGCAATGGCCTGGCTGTTATAACCTTCAAAAACTTTAAATCTTTGAATCTTAAAACCTTAATTCTTAAACCATTGAAACCTTAAATTCCGACAGTCTTCAAATCTGAGACCCTTAGAATCTCAAAGTTTTTAGAATCTGAAAATCTTAACATCTACTAATTGGACTTACAGGAAAGGGAAGTGACCAAAAATCGCCTGAACAAATCCGCAAATCCTTCGCCCCTTATAAGGGTGGGCCCAGCTTGGCGCAGCGCAAAAGTTCGGCGGTGGGTCGGCGGCATGGGGCGGACGGCCTTATACCTGAAGGTAGGCCCTGCGGGCCTAGGCCTTCGGCGATGTCACGGACCACGGGGTCAGGGGCCCCCGGTGGCCGGATTTACACGCTGACGCGACACAGCCGGCCACCGGGCACCTTGCCCTGCCCGTTCTGTCACTTCCCTTTCCGGTAAGTCCGATGAGTAGATGTTAGGATTGAAAAATTCTAAACACTTTGAGATTCTAAGGGTCTCAGATTTGAAGACTTTTGGAATTTAAGGCTTCAATGGTTTAAGAATTTTGGTTCTAAGATTCAAAGACTTAAGGTGTTTGAAGGTTATAACAGCCAGGCCATTGCCCAGCCATTTTCCATCCATTATCAGATTTCGAAGGCTTTAAGATTTTATTTTTGGTGAGATTTTCAGATTTGGCAACTTTCGGAATTTAAGATTTTAAGATCTTAAGATGTCAAGACTTCAAAATTTCAAGATTAAGAGTTTAAGGAATTTAGAATATAGCCCGGATTGAAGGAATTTTATCATATTTTACTTGTTTATGAATTTAAGACTTTCAGATTGCAATAGTTCGAGATTTAAAGAATTTAAGTTTTTGAAGCTTTTAAGATTCTGAGATTTTAAAGGAGTTTGAGAATTTAGGAATTTCATATTTTAAGATTTTAACATCTGAAGATTCAAAGACATGAGGGTTTCTGTCACTTCCCTTTCCTGTAAGTCCGATGAGTAGATGTTAAGATTTCAAAATTCTAAAAACTTTGAGATTCTAAGGGTCTCAGATTTGAAGACTTTCGGAATTCAAGGTTTCAATGCTTTAAGAATTAAGGTTCTCAGATTCGATTATTTCAGGTTTTTGAAGGTTATAACAGCCAGGCCATTGCCCAGCCTTTTTCCATCCATTATCAGATTTCGAAGGCTTTAAGATTTTATTTTTTGTGAGATTTTCAGATTTGGCGACTTTCGGAATTTAAGATTTTAAGATCTTAAGATGTCAAGACTTCAAAATTTGAAGATTAAGAGTTTAAGGAATTTAGAATATAGCCCGGGTTGAAGGAATTTATTATATTTTACTTGTTTATGAATTTAAGATTTTCAGATTGCAATAGTTCGAGATTTAAAGAATTTAAGTTTTTGAAGCTTTTAAGATTCTGAGATTTTAAGATTTTGAGAATTTCGGAATTTCATATTTTAAGATTTTAACATCTGAAGATTCAACGACATGAGGGTTTTAAGAAGTCAAGATTCGAAGACTTGAGGATGTTTATATTTTCAGGTTGCAAGATTCTATCTTCTAAGGTTGTAATTTTAAGATCTTAAGGTTTCAAGATTTCAATAATTCCAGATTAAGAGTTTAAGGAAGTTAAAATATAGCCCGGATTGAAGGAAGGTAATATTCTAATAATTTAAGATTTTCAGATTCCCATTGTTCGAGGTTTCAAGAATTTAAGTTTTTTCAAGCTTTTTAAGATTCTGAGATTCTAAGATTGTAAGACTTGAGGAATTTCATATTTTAAGAGTTTAAGATCTCAAGATTCTAAGACATAAGGTTTTTAAGGTTTCAAGATTCGAAGACTTCAGGAAGTTTTTATATTTTCAGATTTTAAGAGCCTAAGTTCTAAGATTTTAAGATCTTGAGATTCTATCATTGATTGTTAGATTTTAATTTAAGATTTTAAGAATCTAAGACTTTAGGATTTTGAGATTTCAATCCAGGCCATTGTCCATCCATTTTCCATCCACTTTCAGATTTTCAGGTTGCACGTTTTCGGCAAAATTGGCCCGACTTAGGGGACAACATCCCCAGCATCCCCCGCATCACCGGCATCAATGCATTTTCCAGGAACTTTCCATCAATTGTCCACACATTTTCCATCCATCCCCTTTCCCTCCATTTCCCGCATTTTTTTCATCAACGCCCCTTCATTTCCATCAATTTTGCATCCTTTTTGTCCATCCTTTTTCCAGCCCATTCCATCCAGCCATTTCCCATGAATTGTTTATTCGCATTCCTTTCCCTTTTCGTTCCGGCTGTCCGGTTCCCTTCACGTTCTGCCCGTGCATTTTCCTGCATCTCGGTTTCCCTCTTCATTTTCGTGCAATTCCTTTGACTTTCATTTCGTTCACTTTCAGTCACTCCTGTTTCCTTGTATTTCCCCTTCAGCCCCTTGTTTCGCATCGCCAGCATGCATAGCATCATCCGCATCATCCAGGATGATGCTTGCATTGCTGGGGGTGTAGTCCAGTATTAGGCACCCCCTAAAAATACTCGTTTTTGGACTCGTTTTTGGATGCTGCGGGGGATGCTACAAAAATCCTCGGAAATCGCCTAAGCCAATCCGCAAATCCTTCGCCCCTTATAAGGGTGGGCCCAGCGCAAAACGTATGCGCATGGTCGGAGCATGGTCGGCGCATGTTCTGCGCATGGTCGGCGGCATGGGGCGCGCGGCCTTATACCTGAAGGTAAGCCCTACCGGGCTTTGGCCTGCGGCCCGATCACGTCCGGTGGCCGGATTTACACGCTGACGCGACACAGCCGGCCACCGGGCACCCCTTCCCGTTCTTGCATCTCCTTTCCCTCTAAGTTCTGCTAGTTCTCGGGGTGATTCGAACTTTACTTCCTTTGCATGTCTTCCATGACAGTTTCCTGGCATGTCCCTTCACTTCCTTCCACTTCACTGCCGTTTCAGCTCCCTTCATTTCCTTGAAGACTCCTTCATTCGCATTCCTTTCCCTTTTCGTTCCCGCTGTCCCTTGCATTTTCCTGCAGCTCGGTTTCTCTCCAGTGCCTCTTCATTTTCGTGCAATTCCTTTGACTTGCATTTCGTTCACTTCCAGTCACTCCTGTTCCCTTGCATTTCCCCTAAGCCCCTTGTTTCGCATCGCCAGCATGCATAGCATCATCCGCATCATCCGGGATGATGCTGGCAATGCTGGGGGTGTTGTCCAGTATTAGGCACCCCCTAAAAATGCTCGTTTTTTGGCGCTGCGGGGAGATGCTACAAAAATCGCCTAAACCAATCCGCGAATCCTTCGCCCCTTATAAGGAAGGCCCAGCGCAAAACGTATGTACATGGTCCGCTCATGGTCGGCGGCATGGGGCGCGCGGCCTTATACCTGAAGGTAAGCCCTAACGGGCTGTGGCCTGCGGCCCGATCACGTCCGGTGGCCGGATTTAAGGGCTGCCGCCCAGTGCCGCCGACCCCTCCACTGGGGGCCAGCCCAAGGTTTGTTTTGTTCTGGCAGCGGCTTTTGGCTGGTTCAGGCTTGCTTGCTTGCTTGCTTGCCAGGGCGCAACCAGCAAGAACAGCTTCGCGTCCAGCGCGCTTGGAGGCACTCGCTTCGCCGCAGCGAGCACGAACCAAAGGAGTGCGCCGGCAGCCTGCTCCGCCGCGGCCGGGTGAATATGCAGTAAGGCTATCGGTCCAGAGGGAGCGGCCAGCCACAAAAGCTTCGCTTCCCGCGCTTTTCCAGGCCGCACTCGTTTGTCCACAACGAGCACCAACCAAAGGAGTGCGCCGGCAGCAGAAAGAAAAAGGAAAGAAACCAACGGAGTGCGCCGGCAGCAGAAAGGAAGAAAAGAGGCCGAACGGGCGGGCCCGCACTCGTTTGCCCAGCGAGCACCAACCAAAGGAGTGCGCCGGCAGCAGAAAGGAAGAAAAAAGGCCGGACGGGCGGGCCGTGACAGAGCCCAAAGGAGTGCGCCGGCAGCAGATGGGAAGAAAACAGGCTGGCCGTGACAGAGCTTCAGCGCTGAACGCTGTGCCCAGCAGGTAGTTGAGCACTCTCGGCCTCCTCAGCTCAGGGGCAGTTGGTGTAGTGGCATCACACCCGCTCAGCATGCGAGAGGGGCCGGGTTCAATCCCCGGCCTGTCCATGCCCATGTGCGCCTGCGTCTGTCACAGTTTGCCTGTCCCTGGTCTTTCTCCCTTTGGGTTTGCTGTGCGTCTTGCCAAGGGCGGCTGCTCCGCCGCGGCCGGGTGCCGAACGTCACTTTTGAGTCCTATATAGAAAGTAGAAAGCTATCGGTTCCCAGGGCGCAAGCAGCAAGAACAGCTTCGCGTCCAGCGTGCTTGGAGGCACTCGCTTCGCCGCAGCGAGCACGAACCAAAGGAGTGCGCCGGCAGCCTGCTCCGCCGCGGCCGGGTGCCTAACGTCGCGTTTGAGTCCAATATGCAGTAAGGCTATCACTCCAGAGGGGGCGGCCAGCCACAAAAGCTTCGCTTCCCGCGCTGTTCCAGGCCGCACTCGTTTGTCCACAGCGAGCGCCAACCAAAGGAGTGCGCCGGCAGCAGAAAGGAAAGGGAAAGAAACCAAAGGAGTGCGCCGGCAGCAGAAAGGAAGAAAAGAGGCCGAACGGGCGGGCCCGGACTCGTTTGCCCAAAGGAGTGCGCCGGCAGCAGAAAGGAAGAAAAGAGGCCGGACGGGCGGGCGGTGACAGAGCTTCAGCGCTGAAAACTGTGCCCTGCGTTTGCCCACAGCGAGCACCAACCAAAGGAGTGCGCCGGCAGCAGATAGGAAGAAAACAGGCCGAACGGGCTGGCCGTGACAGAGCTTCAGCGCTGAAAGCTGCGCCCAGCAGGTAGTTGAGCACTCTCGGCCTCCTCAGCTCAGGGGCAGTTGGTGTAGTGGCATCACACCCGCTCAGCATGCGAGAGGGGCCGGGTTCAATCCCCGGCCTGTCCATGCCCATGTGCGCCTGCGTCTGTCACAGTTTTTTCCCTGGTCTTTCTCCCTTTGGGTTTGCTGTGCGTCTTGCCAAGGGCGGCTGCTCCGCCGCGGCTGGGTGCCGAACGTCACTTTTGAATCCATATAGAAAGTAGAAAGCTATCGGTCCCCAGGGCGCAACCAGCAAGAACAGCTTCGCGTCCAGCGCGCTTGGAGGCCGCACTCGCTTCGCCGCAGCGAGCACGAACCAAAGGAGTGCGCCGGCAGCCTGCTCCGCCGCGGCCGGGTGCCTAACGTCGCGTTTGAGTCCAATATGCAGTAAGGCTATCGGTCCAGAGGGAGCGGCCAGCCACAAAAGCTTCGCTTCCCGCGCTTTTCCAGGCCGCTCGTTTGTCCACAGCGAGCACCAACCAAAGGAGTGCGCCGGCAGCAGAAAGGAAAAGGAAAGAAAAGAAACGAAGAAGAACAAGAAAAAAGGGAAAGAAAGAAGGCTGGTAAGGTACAGGGCTGAACGGGCGAGGGAGAAAGGGAAGGGAGAAGGCTGCCACAGTCACGCTCCAACGCTAAACGAACACTCCCCCAGCGCCTTCCCCTTGCAGGCAGGGGGGTCGGCGGATATAGTGTGTCGTTTTCCACCTTAGGTTCTACTCGAACAACGCCAGGGGAGGCCTGATCCGGGACCTTTCGCCAAAGCCAGGCCCATGTTTTGATGCTGTGAGAGGCATGCTGCATGCCCCGCACATGCAGGCCTGGGAGGCATCAACCAGCCACACATCAACCTTGGTCTCCACAGAGACGTCCCTGCGCAGGCAGCCTAAGACCCCACACCCCAGCACGGGCCACGACTTTGGGCCTTGCCGGCTGGGCTTGCTTGTGCTGTGCTTGGTCGTTCAGTAGGTGACCGTGTAAAACTGCCTGTTTCCGTAAACCTTTACACCATCATGGTAGCACCCAAGGTTAGGGGGCAGGCTTATTTGCATTTGCTGGGTTCAGCTTGAGGTGCGTCTCTGGTGATGTCGAGCCGGACGGCTTCATTCTCTTGGCAGCGCGTGGGGATCCTGAGGCTGGGCCGTGCTTTTGGGCACCATGCGGTGGGGTCCCCATTGGACAACCGCTTTGGGTGAAACATCGCCTCCACCTTGTTACATGCAGTGTTGCGAGGCCAGCACCTTGAGTAATGCATGGCAAAGAACTTTCAAATGATCTTGGTCCATCTGTATTGGCCAGTCATGGGCAAGTCCCTAATTTGGTATGGTTGGAGGCCCACAACGCATCAACACAAAACATATGTCCAACACTTCAAAGACCCAACGTTCAGGACCAACCATCGGTGTTCAGAGCTCGTGTCTTTGTTGCTTTGTAGTATGTAGGGTTGTCAGGTCGCTGTTGGTGGCGTTGTCAGCAGATGGGATCCTGTGAGACTTTGCGTGCGGGATTGCTTGCGTTTGAGTGTTGAGTGGGTGGTGCGTGCTAGCTGCAAGTCGTATGTGGAAAGTATCGGGGGGTTTTCCCGCGCTTGGGAACCCACAGCCTTCACCATGCTGGGGCCAATGGGTCGGGTTCCCCGTTTTTCTTTTCGGCGCAGCACGCGGCGCTGACCCGGATCTGCAGCCACCGGCGCCTCGCTGCTCGGCTGAAGCCGCCGCAGCTGGACGCCCTGCGGCGCAGCCCCATGCGTACGGAGTGCGTCAGGCGGGCCTTGTTTTTCTCCATGCGAAGAAGAAGGGATGTTGACAAGGGCATTCCCTAAACGATGATGAAGGATCCTTTCCAAGTTGGGAAATTGTATGTAGTTATGTCTTTGGCAGCTTGCTACGTGGGAGGGGGTCATCAACTTGTGATGTCGGGGTCTCCCCTTGTGTTTGGGGCAAGGGCATGCGAGCATTGGTTCAACGGCACCCCACATTCTTTTTGAGATGTAGCACTGCAGGCAGGGTGGTGGGATCTCGCCGTATGGCAAGCCTTTCTATGCTGTGGAGGGCCCAGAGGCGTGTGCGGAGCCTGAGTCTCTTGAGTCTCTGTAGTGGAGAGCCTGGTGCGCCAGGATGATCCAAAGATGACATTCTTTTACATACCTGACCACAAGGTGCCAGGGCCACTGTTCCGGCATTTAGGGCCAATGGCGTTTGACGTTGTTTTTTGCACTGGCATGTGGCCAGTGTGGGATGGCAGGACTTCACTTATAGGATCGTGAGCGACGATGAAGAGACTCAGGACTGTTTCTGGCTGCGGTTGGCAATCAATCTCGTTTTGATGTTCTGCATGCGGAATTTGGCCAGCGCACGCACCAACCTTTGTCCTAGGCAGCCTACCATGCTGCTTTGGAAGTGGGTGCAGCTGTGTCGGACGATGTTGACTTGCAGGCACCTTGGTGCCTGAAAAAGCCTAGCCATCTCAAGCAATGAATGCAACACTAGAAACACAACTCGCATTGGGCTGCTTGGCGCATTTTGGCTGCAGGCAGGTGATGCTCTAATCATCAACAACGCTCGCTGCACCCACGGCCGCTCATCCTTCAAGCCTCAGCTGGACCCACACTCAGCATTGGGCCTTGTTTGGCACTCCTTGGCCCTGGAGGATGGGACGGACCGATGGCTGCTCAAGACGTTCGTCTCTGCGGGTGCGGCGCATGCGTGCACAACCGTCGCGACCCTTGCTTTTTCCATCACTTCACAGGAGCAGGTAGCAAATTCGATCATTGAGCAGGGCAGGGGGTTCAGAGGGCGCTCTTGGTGCCAAAAAAGCAAATTGCGCGCTTGAGCATGTTGGACTTCTCAATTTGTGCGAATCGCTCGAGGCTTGGCCCAACTTGCTGCTGAAGCCATGATGCAGAGGAAACACCGCGTGTGGAGTTGCCACGCTTTGCTGAGACAGGATGCCAGCTTGACAGCAACCCGCTGCAGCCTTTCAAGTTGATTCTTTCCGCTGCGCGCGTGCTGGGAAGTGTCACGTATTTGTGTTGGAATGGGTGGGGATGTTGGTATGGAGGGTCGTTTGGGGAGGTTGTCGTCAAACGTGGCAAAGAAAGAATCAAGCAAAGGGGACGCATGGAAAAATGAGAAATATTGACGCCTCCGGCTCTGACCGCCGACATTGCAGGCCTAACTTCTTATTCTTGTCTTCAGCAATAGGCAGTTATCACACACGGCTAAGTGCAATGGCGCATGTAGCAATGGACACAGGTCAGAAGATGTGTCTGATAAAAGGGCTACTACTGATGCAATCAAGCTCTATTCTACTGATGCTTCTTCTTTGCTTGTTTTGTTCTTCTGTGTTTGCACTCTTTTGCCCTTTCCCTTGGAAAGGCCCAAAAAGGACTTGATGAGGGCCTTTGGCTTGCCTCCGTTTGTTCAAGCTAATGTTTTGCTAGCTGCGGATGTGTGTTGTTGTTTATTGAAGGTCTCGAGAAGTAATGGATGGGTGTGCTACTGATGCAAGCTTGCAAGTGATGGATGGGGCGCTACTGACGCAATCAAACTGTTTCTTACCGATGTTTCTTGGTTTTGTCTTTTGTTTGCAGGATCTTTTCCCTAGCTGGTGATGCCTGTAGGTTTGGTTTGCAATTTCCTTTGAACTGTCCTCGCAAGACACGAGTAGGACCTTTCATTTGACCCCGTTTGCTCATGTTTTCTAAGCATGTGATTCTGGTGACGCTGGTGACGCTGGTGATGCTGGGGATGCTGAAACGGTGCTCAGGAAAACCCTAAAGCTTATGCGCAACTGTGTCCAAAGGATTTGGCCGCGAAAGGGGCTGTTTGGGAATCACCCAGTGGTACAAGGCCACCCCTGCTTGCATGTCCGGATTCGTCTTTTGGGAGCATGTGTTGTGTCCAACAAGCCGTCTATTCTCGGCGGACTTCTACCAGTATGTCAGCACTTGCGTGCTGTTGGAAGCGGGGTTCTAAACGCTTTGTTGTCAATCACAGCTGCCTTTAATCTTGACGCAGCTTTGTGCATTTCATGCGGGGGTGCGTGCATACTGTACATTTGTGCTTTCATGTGAACCTTGGCCGTGCCATGTCGGCCAAGCTGCCTGACTTGGGCCCTTTGCTGGACAACACCTCAGCTTCAACGACTGTTAATTCCACCCGCTCAACCACAGTGGCGGCCTGAGTCTTCCAAGCTGGGGAGGAGGGGAGCGAGGTCCTTGGACTTGCACTCAAGCCTCACCAATGGTCTCAGCCATCATGCGGCATGGCGGTCAGTGTATGCTCAGGGTTTGGCTGAGGTGAGCAGCTTCACTGACTGCCACAACTGCTCCACCACCAGTACAACCTCAGGCTAGTTTCGCATTCATACCTGTTGATTCTGTTGATGCCTGTTCGCGTTACGTGGGGAAGCTCATGCAATTGGATGCCAAGGTTTCACTACCTGGCTCCAACCCAACAACACCAACGGAAGTCCGCTCGACATCGCAGCTGCAACAGGCAGACCTTGATAATTTGAGTGGCCTTTGCAGCAAGGCAGTGTGTCTCTGTTACTGCTAGTGGTGCTTTTTATAATGTTGGCGGTGGGTCATTCAATTCCGTAGGTTGCCTCCTGTTATCGTCAGGTAAGACTGTGGCCGTTACTTCCAGCCCAACCACGACAAGCGCCCTGCATACAGGCCTGGCCCAAGTATTTCAGCTGCATGCACCGATGTGCCCGGGCACCAGGAATACTGGATGAGTCTCTCCACGAAAAGCCACCTGTTCCAGGCAAGGCCAGAATGACAATTGTTGACACTTACTGTTTCGCTGTGGTACGATTTGCCTGGGGTCCGGGTCCTGCTGATTCTGCCGAGGAGTCTCGCATGAAGATGTGCAAGCCACACCCCCAGCAGCCTAAGAGCGGCTGCAAGGTCTGATGTCGCATGTGACAGACGGGTTCTACGAGCAGGGTGGGTTCGAAGTAAGGATTTCTCCGTGTTGAAGGGTGTTGCGATGATCATCGTGATTGCGGCTCTGGTTTTCTTCAGCTACACATTCTGGAGGCCCATGGCATGTGGCATCAGCTTTTCCGTCTGCGTATGATTCTAGCTGGGCGTCAGGCGACGCAGCGCTCGCATGCTTGCACCTGGCGACATGCAGCTGCAGAGCTGTCACGATTGAGCTTAGCGTCAATCGCAGATCCATTGCGCAAGTGGCTCGAGTGCTTGCATCGCAGGTCCAGCCTGTCTGAATGGATCGGCGGGGAGGATGATGACGACATCCCAATCGTCATTGGCCCAAGTGTGTGGCTTTGTCAGCGGCGTGTCAAACATGAACATCTGCTGCAGTTTTTGCCATGCTCAAGACACGAGGCTGTGAACAAGAAGCATGCCTTGCACGCAGCAAGAAGTTCTACAGACTGCCTCCCGGAAAAGCAGAGCAACATACCGACAGCTCTGCTACCTAAGAATCTAGGTGACTAGGGGGCATATTTGCCAGCTCGTCCACATGCCTTTTCATGGAGGAAAGCCGGCCCTTGGATTTGGATGAGTTGCTCGGCTGCAAGCATGGCCTTGCCCTGTGAGCTGCGGTTCATGTGCACTTTCCCCGCTGAACCGAGCTCGGATACAAAGGCCAGGCGCAAAACTTACTGCAAAGCAGCAGCATGGCAGCAGTATTTTTCTTTCTTCTTTTCTTCAAGGCGCTTTCCATGGCCTTTGGCCTTGGAGTAAGGACTTGCGTCAGATTCTGTTGTGTCTTCTTCAATGTTCTCAGCGGTTTCGTCAACGGATATGACATTTGTATCACCACTGGCATTCTGGACGACATGGACCGAGATCTCAAGCTATGCCACGATGATGGCCAGATCTCGACTTGCTTTGCCAAGGACTGAGGTGCACCAAACAAATGTTGACATAGGCCTTTTGAAACGAGAGGGTCTGACTGGGGTTGGCCACACCAAGGGGGTTTGATGGGTTGCAAGGAAGCAGTCCTTTCAGCCGTCAGTCTGGGCGCTCTCTTGTCCAGATTGTGCTGCACAAATTTGGCCGAAAGATTTGGTCGTCGAGCTGCCCTTTTCCTTGCGGACGTTTTGATCCTGACCTCGCTGGCCCTACAGTCCGGCACGCGCTCAATATCCATTTTCTTCGTGGCGCGGGGACTGGTTGGGATGGGCATGGGTCTGGCCTTTCTGATCACGCCGATCTACCTTTGTGAAATAGCGCCTCGTTCAAGTAGGGGCCTCTTCGTTTGTTTGAATGAAGTCGCTGTGTGTGTCGGGTGCCTGGCTGGTCTACACATATCGGCCCTGGACTGGATGCGGCAGGAGTGGGCGTGGCAGAAGGCGGTCGCCCTGGCAGCGGTGCCAGCTGCGGTGCAGCTGGTGTTCGTGTGTTTGCTGCCGGAGAGCCCTCGGTGGTATGCCAATCGCGGGGATGTGGACGGCGTGGACCGCGCCATCCGTGCGTTGGGACTGCAGGCGGAGACCCAGGACCTGAAAGCTGCGGCCAGGGCCGCTGAGGGACGTGAGGACAAGTCCAGCTGTTGCTGGCGCCACGTCAGCGCGTGGGTGGACTTCAAGCAGCCCTGCTCCATCGCCATGGGCGTTGCGAGTTGCAACGCCTTTGTGGGCACCTTATCGGTTCAAGCCTACGCCCACGATCTGCTGAAGCTTTGCCAGGTGGAAGACCCGGACACAGTGCTGCCCTTGATTGGCTGGATGAAGCTGGCAGGGGCCCTGCTGGCTATGCTTGCATCCGACTCTCGGCTAGTAGGGCGACGACGGCTTGTCATCGGAGGAAGCCTGCTGTGCACGCTTTGCGATGCTACCCTGGCTGTCCATCTCGCTTTTCCAAACCAGTTCCCGCCTGGCCTGGCTACCGCAAGTGTGGTCTTGCGGATCTTTGGTTGGAATGCTGGCTATGGCGGTGTGGCCTTCGTTGTCATTTCCGAGGTGCTGCCCAACGCAGTTCGGTCCCACTTTGCTGCGCAATGCCAAGTGGTGGGCAGCGTCATCGACACGCTCATCTTCCAACTCTTTGAGACGATGCTCTTCGCCAACTCCGTGGCGACCTTTGTGACCTTTGCCACCATCAACCTGATCTCCTGCCTCTTTGCGGTGTGCTGCCTGCCGGACTTTCGAGGCCAAGCGCTGGAGGCATGTGCCGCACGCACCTACGGCGTCCTGAGCGAAGATGTGCCAAACTCGCCGCCGGTGGAGCTGCCACAGGTGCTTGGGGTGCAGATTGGCGACAGGGCCAGAGATGTGAAGGTGCTGTGATTCAGGGGCCTCGCCCTGGTAGTCGCCAATGCAGGCGTTAGATTAGCTTGCTTGACAAAGGACGATCACACTTTGGGATGGAAAGAGGGGTTCTGAATGGTTCTGATGTTGCGGAACTGGACCCTGCCCCCCTTTGCATGGCGCCTAGGCTGGACCCCTATCTGGACGACGCCCCGCAGCTACACGTGCCGATCTAATGCACCTGCCTGTGAGTGCCGACCTTCCCGCGAGCCAAGGAATCAGGCCATTGGCCACTTGCCCCGGCAACTCTGACTATTACGATGCTCGTTCCTGATTGGAAACCGAAGGGGGGGGAGTCTGGGACTCTGCCGAGTCAGCGCAAATGCTGAGCACGCCCAGGATATGTCCACTCCACGGTAGGCATTTGGAGCAAGCTGCAGGGCGCCCTCGTGAGCGATGGCTCTTCCATTTGTGACCCTGGTTGCTGAAAGCCGCCATTCGCACAGAGCCGGTGCTCTAGAGCTTGACAAGCAAAACATCTGCATGTTCTCGATTGGGAGCCTTGGCCCTGGAGTGGTCAAAGGAAGCGCAATTCCTGTGACAGTCTTCCATTGCTTGCGCATGCGCAGTGCGTGCATTGACACGGCGCAGCTTCCTGATTCAAGCCAAGCTGACAAGCGTCTTCGGCATGGCGGTGCCTAGCAGCAAATAGCTGGAAGCTGTGAGTTGTTTGTTTCAAACTTAGAGTGCCCACAGTGCTTTCGGGTTTCCAAGGTCGCAATGTTCGCCCAACTTTTCCTTGCCAGATTCTTGGCGCTGGCAGTGGCAGAAGTCTGTGATCCCAGCGGAAATGCCACCTGTGACTTGGCCAACTGCGCGTGACGCAGGGAAAGACAGAGCTGACACCAGGGTGCCTTGGGACGTTTGCTGAGGTGCCAAGTGTGCTGGAAGCATTGAAGTGCAGGGTGCAGGCCTTGCCGGTTGGTTGAAGTTTGCAAGGGTTCATTGGCATGGGCGCGTGGGATCATTGGTATTCTTCCCCTGCAGGCAAGTTCCAGATGACGAACGCGTACTGGAACGTGCCGGACGAGAAAGCTGGGGACGTTGAGGTGATTGGCAACAAAGTGACCCCCCAGATGAAAGGGCGCACCTATTGGACCGACCAGTGCAATGGCCAATACGATCACAACAAATATGCCAACATCTCGTTTCTGGGGAAGCAGTTGCAGTTCACCACGGATATCTCCGGTGCGGGTTGTGGGTGCAACGCTGCGCTGTACCTCACCTCCCTCCGCCAGAGCCAGCAGCTCTCAGGCTGCGAGGACTTCTACTGCGATGCCAACAGCGTATGCGGCCTGCGCTGTGTAGAGATCGACCTCATGGAGGCAGAGCCGCGACATGTCCTTTTCCGGTAGGGCCAAAGTTTAATCGAGTTTGTACATGATAGTGCCCCTGGTTCTGACACATTGGAACAGCGTTTCGAGGCCAACATGTACGCCTGGCACACCACGATGCATGTGGCGGACGATGGCAGCGGCATCGGCGCTGGCTATGGGGGTGGCATCAATTGGAATGGCCACAGGGACTGGGTTCGCGAGGATTACGGACCATCTGGGCGCTGCATCAGCACGGCCTTCCCCTTCCAGGCGGGAATTCATGTTGGTTCAGCGTTAAAAGTTGTTGACTCTTGCCTGACCAGAATTGCTGTACTCATTGTTTGTCAATCGACATTCAGGCCAGAATGGCTGGACACACCATGAGAAGGGCCCTCCTCTTGACACATCTGCAGTCCAGTTTGCTTTGCCGCGCGGCCGAGGTGACCATCGGCTTCCCGTTGGACCAAGGCCGGCTGCGCGCCATGACAGTGAAGCTGACTCAGGGCCGCGTCTGTGACCTGGAGACGGAGGTGCCCACCTCCTGGTACCACTTCCAGGGCCGCGACAGCAGCGCCGAGATCACCGAGGCGCCAAATCGGGGAGATGGGTCTTTCGATCATATGTGGAGGCCCCTTGTTTATGCAGGGCAAGAGGTGAAACAACACGCTCAAACCACGGACTACTTGGGAAAGCTTGGATGTGTGAACGCCGGGTATGTGAGTGAGCTGTCCTACGTCGCCACATTCTGCCTTGTTGAGGGTGCTCTATTCATTAGGCAGCTGACCCCTCGCCCAGGCCATGGCGGCCGGCATGACGCCGATCATCAGCTACTGGAGCGCCCCCAACATGCTCTGGATGGACGGCGTTGGCGCAGATGGGCTGGGCCCCTGCGCGCAAGACTTGCCTGAACTCTGTGGGGAGTCAGTGCAGTTTTACGCGCCTTGGCTCGTGGGTTGGGCCTGAGATCCCTTGTGCTGATATGTTGCCTGCACCCTGGAATTTGAGCACCTTCCTCCACTGCCCTCAAACCCAGTATCCGCAGGGGTAGCCACTGCACGTCAAAGTTTGTGGACTCCGGGTTCTCCATATCTCCGAAACCCTTCAGCAGAACTGACACTGGGTCCTGGTGGAATTGGAGGTTATGAATTCTGAACCTGCTGGAAATGCCAAGCCAACCATGAGCTTCCAAAACACATTTTGAGCTTTGCCTGGGTTTGTTTGCGGCGTATCCCAATTCCGCCAGGCCAAACAGGGGGTCCCAGGGCGCAAGAAAAACACGAGCAGGGTGTCCCTGCAACGGCTTTCTTTTTGGTGTCCATCCAGCTTCGGAGAGCCAAGGATTTCAAATTGGAGAGCCGGGGCCCCCAGTTCACGCAAGATTCCGCAAGATCATTCAATCCAATTCACTTGTGCCAAGGCTTGCCAGACCTCCTCGTTTGATTGGGAATGCTGTGATAGGGCATTTGTGCATAAATTCATACACCAGCTTCGCTGAAAAGCTGCGAAGTGCATGTTTCGGTAGGCATCATTGCTGGAAATGTCTTGCTCAAGTATTTTCGGAGTTCGCGCAACTAGGCGGTAGGCGAGTCAACAGGGTGAGACATTGCCAGCCACTTTAACAATCACCGTTTGCTCCTCGTGGGGGCATATAGAAATTCGGGGTTCCAATGTGTTCACCCCTGCAGTCAGCCACTGTTCAACCTGGATACTGGTGGCAGTTTGGTCTTCCTAGATGCCGAGCGGCAGTCTCGTCGACATGAGCGCACGAGGTGGTGAGGGAGCGCGCCGAGTGGTTGGGGCACGCTGTTGCCTCTCACGTGTTGTCAGTCCCAACGGCATTGTGCCCCAATCTTGCTGCGGTTGATTTAGGTTCAAGCCGACTCTGGATTTTGCTGCCCAATGTTCAGCACCCACAGCTCCAAGACTGCAGCCTCCCTTGCACTAAGACCTTCATGGAGCCCCAGATCCCAAGTGGAGGTTTGCTGGACGCATTTCTTCCCACCCCTTCACCACAGCTTTGGCCCCTTTGGAGTGCCCGCTTTTGGCCCCTTGTCGATCTCCCGGAAAGTCGGGGCCATGCGGCGGGCCATGCAGAGATTTCACACCGAGCCCGCGCCGCTGAAGTTGCGGAAGCGCCCGGCTGAGGGGCGTGTGCTGAGAACCCAGACGCAACAACATGTTCTGGCCCAAACAGCTTTGGGCGCGGTTGGCTGGGTTTGGTTTGACGTTTTTGCCCCTTCGAGCTTTCAAGAATCCAGTTTCGAAGTCTTGCAGCCGTGGCAGTGGCGTGGTGTTAGTTGAGCACCCTGGCTGAGACTTTGTAAGGCCCACGCTTCACTCAGTGCGGAGCATGGGCGCCGGGCAAAATGCACCCACGATTCCCGACACAGACGGCGTGAATGACATGCTGCAAGAGGCGCCGGTTTTTCAGTCGGTGACGCCGCAAAGTTGTAGCTGAGGCTGGCCAGAACGCTACTCTCATGGACGTCGCCCGTGGCATTCTTGATCGATTGGTGGAACGACCTGAGCTGGAGGTTCAGGTTGCCGCCTGGATGCGTTTTCAGGGGGGTGCGTGGACTTCCGTATCTCATATGTTTGCCTGGAGCTGCGGATGTCCCAGGAAGAAATCCTTTTTCTGAAGGAGTGCTTGGGCTCGAACTTGGAAACCCTGGCGATGCCATGTATGCTGCTACAGCGGGACACTGGATGCTTGGCAGATGGCCATTCCTGAGATGTGCACTCAGAGTTTGTCTCTGCCAAGGAGACGTGACACCAGGTGCCACGGGCCGGTTGGGGGCAACTGACGCTCCTTTGTCACGTTGCCGATGCCCGTTTTTTTTTTGTGCTCGGGGGTGTGCAAGTCGCTGGGCTGCAGGCGGCTATGCAACTCAGCTTGGTATGGGCGGAAGGGGCGATTTGCTGCCGGCAGTTGTGCATGCTGGTGCCATGTTTTGTGCCGTTGTTCACCTTCGCTGCAGCTGAGGACTTTTTGATGACCTATACGAAGCAGGCAAGTAGAGCTCAGCCGGCCATCGAACCGCCGAACTCGAGTCCTTGCGTATCAGCGTGGGTCCCATCAGATAGGGCAGGTCTACTTTGGCGTGAGGACGTTTTAGATGAGCTTTGCGCGAATGCAACTCGTGGGAATGCTGTTCAGAGCCAGGTCAACACCAGCTCCTCTTGTCCTGGAACTCCTGGGAGTCGTTCACGGACGCCCTCGGTGGCTTTTACTCGCCCGCCATCGTGGGAGTCCCTGAAGTCCAGCATGCTGGAGGACTTTGTGGCCTGGCAGCACGCAGCGGCCGACGGGCCGTCGTCGGGCAGAGCCCAAGCCAACTTTTATAGAGCAGGTGGCTCGTGCGCCAAGCGGAGCCAATGCAACTGAGGACAAATGGGACTTTGACAGTGGCTGGGCCAGCAATGCTGCAACGATGGTTACAATCTTTGTGCCAAGTGCTGAAACTAATGAGCCGTGATGAGCCGTGGGAGCTGAGGCTTTGAGCTAGCAGATGCAACGAAGGGCAATCCGTTGCACTTTGCTGGGTGGAAGGCCCTGGATGCGTTCCTCACGGACCAGCGCCTGGGCTTATGTTTGAGCGTGAGTTGGCTCTGGTCCACTCGGTCTACCTTGCGTGCTGACTGCGTGCTTCGGCGTTTCGAAAGGACGTCGGACATTTTCCTGGAGATGGAGAAGACCACGCGTTTTCTAGAGGCTGTGGAGGAGCAATGCTGCGTCTTGTGTGTCGTTCTCCTGTCTTCCCTTTTTGCGGCCTTCAGGACATGTATGCTAAGCAAGGGTCTGTACTTTATCACAACAATGTTCATGCGGCGGATGTGGCTCAGTCTGAAGTTAGGCTGTTTTCAAACATGTCATCGCTTGCCAAAGCTTAGGTCACGCAATGTGTACATGCACTGCTTTCGCAATTTGGCTTCGCTGCATATTTTGACCAGCTCAGCATCCTTGCACTCATTTTGGGTGCCGCCGTGCATGACATGGGCCGAGGGCTTGGACAAAGAAAGGCGCATGTGTCGCTGCAGCGCAGCACTGCCCATCGGAGGCCACGATGGACGGACCAATTCCTTTCACGTGAACACATGCGATGAGATTGCGTTGACGTACAACGACTCCTGTTTGCAATGATCACAGTGAACCTTGCCTAGCCGAGTCCAGTTTGCTAGCCCAGGACATCAGCGTGCTTGAGAACATGCACATCTCGAAAACCTTCAAGCTGATGCATAGTGCTGCTGGCTTAGGGAAGCTGCACAAGTTTGAGGTGGGCTGCCGGCTTGGCAATTTGGCAACCCAGGACCCGTCAACGAACATCCTGGCCACTTGTCTTAGATGCCAAAGGCATTGCCCGCCTGCGAAAGAACTCAGGACGGGCTTAAGACAGATCACCGCACTCGATTACGCAAAGAGATGGTTGAGGCTGTGGGTGGACCTTGAGTTGACCTTGAGTGGAACGTGCGCCTGCGTGATGCGCATCATGCGGAACTGCATGCCAAATGCCAGGTGGTGCTTGGCACTGACATGTCTTCTCACTTCAGCAGTGTGGCATCTCTGATGCAAGACCAGCGGAAATTGTGCAACAGAGCCGAGCTGAGCTCGGATGGAGATGAGCCCAGGCAGACTTCAAGACACTAATTGAGAAGCTTGGAAACGATCCTCGGGAATGGCATTGCGAAGCGAAAGCTATGCATCTGGGAACGCAACATTGCCCATTGTTTTGGTGTTTGTATTTTGTATTTCCCTCATGGGGATCTTGCCGCATAATGGCTCATTGATGTACTTGTGGACCTAGGTCTGCTCTGCGAGTCATGGTGCTCCATGCCATGGACATCTCCAATCCTGCCAAAGTCTTGCACATCTCCGACAAGTGGTCGGACCCTTTGCTAGCATTGGGCCCAAAAACAGCCTCCTTAGGGCCGTGCCTAAAGCCAACCTGCAACGGTAGCCCTGGCATGCCGCACAATGTGACACCCGCACCGAGCACCCCTGCGTCCTTTTTTGCGTTTTTTGTTTGTTTGTTTGTGACCATACGTCAAAAGCCGGTGACTCAGGATCTGCTGCGGCAGGAGTTCTTCCTTCAAGGGGATGAGGCAGGCGCCTGTAGATTCTGAACACTCGGCGTCGCTTTGCGTCGCAGGAGAAGCGACTTGGTCTACCCATCTCGCCGCTCTGCGATCGCGAGACAGTGCGTTTTGCCAGTTCGCAGGCCCGTGGGATGGTTGAGGACCTCGGGTCCTGTGTTGTCTCCCGAAGCCGCCAGGTGGGCTTTTTCACCATCATTGTGCAACCAACGTTTGCGTTGATGGCTGAGCTGCAGCATCCTGTGAAGGAGAGATGGCGATGCAGGCCTGTTTTGTATCATCCTGCCTGGCAGGACGTGCTGCTGGCGCACCTTCAGTCTAACACCGAAACTTGGGAAGCGCGCAAGAGGAAGGAGCCGCTTGGCTGCAGCAAGGAAGCACACATTGCAGAGGCGGGGGGGGGGGAGGGGGAGCTGATGAAAGCCGAGGTCTGCTGACCACAGCAGCCCCCAAGCCTCGGCCCAGCCTGCGGGCGTTTCCAGGTCCGATAGATCTGGCAGCGTTTGCCGGACAGCCTCAAGGCCAGCGTCTGCCACTGTAGCTATTGTAAACTTGCGCGGCCTCTGTGGTCTTCTCGGCCTCTGTGCATGACATTGGCAGCTGGCTCAGGCAGGAAGGCTCAAACAACAGCTTGCCTTCTGAGCTGCGGACCGTGCTACCTGGAGTGTCATCATCTCGACGATGGTAAGTCCTGAGCTGCGCTCACACAACAGTTTGATGAGACCTACCCAAATAGAGCCGTCAGATTTGCCGTGCATTTGGGTCCATCACGCCTTCAGTGCAGCTCAGGGCTTGAGATGTGAATGAACTCAGCATGCAACCCGTTTTGGGGCGGTCGCTGACGTTTGTGGCCAAGGCGTGCTAAGGCCAGGCAAGTTGTGCGCTGTGGAACCACAGCCGCCGATTGCTCTGGTTGTGAATGCGTGCTCAGCTTGAGCTTTCAGACGGTGTTTGCCTCAAGGACTAAAGCGACTCAAGCCAGGCCAAGTCTCTCAGTGAAGTTGCGTTGCAAAGTTTGAAACATCTAGAATCTACACCTTCTGAAGTGGCATGGCTTTGCGAACAAAGCCGCCATTCAGCCTCGGAGCCGCACCGGCGCTCACGCAGAGATGACGTTGGTGCGATTATTGGGCTTAGCCATGGTGGATTCACAAGGATTTTGCCATGTCCATAGCGAGCCAAGCACGCAAGAAGCTTTGAAGAAAACAGCTGAGCCTGAGCCTGCGGTTGTGAGGCCTTGATTGCTGTGATCCCGGTGCGCGCCATGTTGCCGGCCAGTCAGCAGCCCGTTTCCGCAGCTGTTTTGGCATGGGAGGGGCCCCTGAGCCGGCAAGGTCGGCTTGGGGTGCGAGGAGGGGCCCTCAGGCTTCGTCTGACATGCCACTGGAATGGCTTAGCGTCTTAGTGGCATAGCGTCTTGGCGGCTAAGGCATGTCAGAGACCAAGTTGGGCTTCACAATCACGGTTGAAGGGCAGGGATGCCTGGGGCTCAGGACAGGGCTCAAGGCTCAGGCTGTGTCAGTGAGTGAAACCGTCGAGGTGCCCCAGCTGCGAGAGGGCTGGCTCCTAAGACTCAAAGAGCATCGCAGGCTCAGGCACAGGGTTTTCCATATGCCATGCATGTTGGCTCAAGGGGCGCCAAAGAGGCCTTGGCTCCATCCCAGCGACATGGCCCAGGTTTCGGCCACTGGTGGAGCAAAGCAGGCGCAGGAAGCAGAGGAAGAGGAAGAGGAAGCAGAGGAAGCGGAAGAAGAGGAAGAGGAAGCAGAGGAGCAGGATGAAGAGGATCAGCAAGCAGATGAGGCAGAACGCACAGACAACGGCGCGCAAGCAGCTGTGGCGTTGGATGCGAGCAAAGAATCCTCGCAGTTTCAAAAGCTGCCGGAGCACGTTGATTCAGTGCAAGCCAAAGATGCTTCGCACACCCGGACTGTGCCCAATGCAGCTGCTGCTGCGTCAGATCCTGCTGAAGCTGTCAAACGATCTGATCCCACACAGGCAGATGGATCGCGTTCAGCCAAAGACGCTGGGGCAGCAAAAGTTGTAGTGGAAGCTGCCAAGAAAGCTGCGGCAAAATCGGCAGCAAGTGTGGCAGCAGAGTCTGCAGCAAAAGCTTCGGCAGAAGCTAAGGTAGAAGCTGCTGAAAAAGCCGCAGCAGACTCAGCCGCAAAGGCTAGAGCTGAGTCTGCACAAAGTAGTGCGGCAAAGGCAAAGTTAGAGGCTGCCGAAAAAGCGGCAGCCCAATCTGCCACAAAAGCTGCAGCTGAGTCTGCAGCAAAAGTTGCTGCCGAAGCCAAGTTAGAAGTTGCAGAGAAAACTTTAGCAGAGTTGTATGCAAAAGCTGCGGCAGAATCAGAGGCAAAAGCTGCAGCTGAAGCAAAGTTAGAAGCTGCAGAAAAACACTTAGACGAGTCGGTCGCAAAAGCTGCGGCAGAATCAGACGCAAAAGTTGCAGCTGAAGCAAAGTTAGAAGCTGCAGAAAGAGCCTTAGAAGAGTCGGTCGCAAAAGCTGCGGCAGCAGAAGCAGCGGCAAAAACTGCAACAGAAGCTGCAGCAAAAGCTGAAGTGCGAGCCGCCGCAGAGTCTGCAGCAAAGGCCGAAGTAAAAGCCGAAGCAGAAGCTGCGGCAAGGCTTCATCTTCAAGAAAGGTTAGTATTGCAATCGGCCATTCGGGCGCTGGCGCGACAACTGCATGGCATCCACAAGGTGGGGGATTTGGAGCTCAGGGCAGGTGACCTCATCTTGGGCTGCTGCAGCAGGACGGCTGTGTCCACCTGGAGCCCAAGCTTCGCCGCCTTGCTGCGGGACGGCCGGGCCGTGCTCGAGCTGCACGGGGACCCAGACGCGGTGGGGCAGGCCATGGCGTTCATGCAGGAGGGCCGGACCAGCTTTCAGAGTCCTCAGCCGGACAAGCACCACCCACTGCTGGAATTGGCGCATGAGCACGGCTTGGAGGACCTGAAGGTAGCTTATGGGGAGGCGATGATGGGGAAGATCCCCATTGCGCCGGAGAATGCCACTCCATACTTGCAGCTCGGATTGCGATATTCCGTGCGCAACATCTCCATGGTGGCAGCGGACACTATTGCAGCACACGCGGGGCCAAAAGGTGAAGCCATCATTGCTTTAGACATGGCCTGTGTCCAGGCTGTTTTAGCGAGTGACCAGCTAAATGTAGTGGATGAGAAAGAGGTTCTACAGATCATTCAGGCATGGGCAGCCATTGCCCCAAACCGGCTGCCAGAAGTGCGCTGCCTGATAGCCCAGGTTCGCTTGTCTCTTTGCAGCTTTCAAACCTTGATCGACTTGTTGTCCAGCCTTTCCACGGAGGCATGCTGGCGGGAGGTGGATCAGAAGCAGCTGCACACCCGGGTTCGAAAGGTGATTGATGAAAAACTGGAGGGTGTCACGTCGGACCGGCTGCGCCGACACTCACGGCTCCCTGGAGGGGACAGCGAGGATCAGCTGGCTGCAACGTTGAGGGTGAGCAAGGGCCTGTACGCCTCGTAGCGCCAGAACCGGAGGGACGGAGACGGTGGACCTAGTCAGCCAAGGTGGGCACTGACTTAGGGCAGCTTGTGGAGCGCCCAATGTTGGCACTCTAGGGGGCTTGAGCTCCAAGCAGTGCTTGGGCAAAAGAGAGCGGCTGCAGACCGCTTGCGGTGCATGCAGGGCGTCGCGCATTTTGCGTGCTTCTGCTGCGAGCTCAGGCCCAAGCACTTTCTCCTGGAGGCAGATGAGAAGAAATGTGTCAGAATTGGCCGGGCGCCTGTTGTGGAATATGCCGGCTCTGATTGGGCACCGGATGTTGCCGCCACTTGTCATGTGATGATGCCAGTTGCCCGCCTCCGCCTTCTTTGTAGTTGCGCGGCAAATCGCCTTGAAGCCACTGCAAGAGGCATCAGAATTACGGAGCATAGAATTGTCCCCAGAGAAAAGAGAGACTAAACTCTTAGGACAACGCAGGAGCACGGCTCCGCAGCGCTTGGAGACTTGAGCCCCCAAAGCAAGTAGACGCCATGCTGGGCCAAAGTGCCCCCAGTGCTCCGAGCCGAGCACCGCGATGGCAAGCGCCGTGGGTGGGGCCAACGATCCGTCCAGCTGCGCTTCAAGAACTGCTGGAGCTCTTCCCTGAGGATGGGCAGGGCTTGCTGTCGATGCTGCGGGTTGCTGGCCGCCGCGGAGACTGGAGAGAGGTGCTCGCGCTGCATCGACAGGCAAGGGGGGCTGCGGAGCAGGGGCCGCTGGATGGCAGTGCCGCACTGGGACTCGCTTATGCTGGGCAGTGGGGAAGAGCTTTGGAGGTGATCAGCAGGTTCAGAGAGCAGAGCTCCGATGAACAGTTCTGGTCCACCCGAGCTGAAGACATCAGCATGTGCAGCATCATGCTGTCAATCAACTCTCGTATGGGTGCCTGGCAGGAAGTACTCCAGACACTTGAGGAAGCTGGCACGTTTTCCGCAGTCAATCCAAGGGACTCTGCCCAAGCAATGAATGTATTGACAAAGCTTGGTTCATGGCAGGCTGCCTTGACAGTCTTCGAGACTGATGCTCGGGTGGAGCCTGCCATGTATGCAGCTGCCATAAAGAGCTGGGTATCCGGGCATCACTGGAGGGCTGTCTTTGAACTCCTGGGAGAGATGGAGCAGAAAGGGCTCCCAAAAGATGAGCGGGTTTTTGCAGGCGCAATGGGCGCATGTCTTCGCGCGGTGACAGATGACGACTCAAAGCAGACCAACCTGGCTGTCACTGCTATGAACTTGCTGAGTGAGATGCGCCAGAGGAAGCTCAACCCAAGCCGAAAGCATTGGAGTATGGTGTCGTGGCTACACTGGGTCTGTTTAATTTGTTTGCTTGACTCCACTTGGCTGGTGAGCTGGTGCATGGCCACTCCCCCCAAGATCCCCCACCCTGCCAAGGCAGTCGTCGCCAATGCCAGGCCATGCTTGTTGCTTCAGGTTTTACAAGTTACCGTGTATGGCGCTGATTTTTGGCTGGTCCTTGGCACTTCCCGGCCGTTGGTTCCCCGAGGCCTGGAGTTTGAACATGTTTGGCATTTTGCGCCAGGGCCGGGGATCCAACAGATGCGCTGCGTCTGCTGCGCTCCTCTCGCGAAGCTGGGAGCATGGAGGCTTTGAGAACCAAGGGGTGCCCATCACTTCGGTCACTTGTATTGCTGAATTGGGCTCTGGCAGTTGTTGGTTTTCAAAGCTGGAATCCTTTTGCTCGCTTTAGGGCGCATCTTGTTTCAGGCTTCTAAACAAGGTGCTTGGTAGCATGCTTGTCCAGCATTGGCCCACGCCGTGCCAGGGCAGCTCGCCGCTTGTTTGCACGTGGGCTCGTGGTCGCGATAGCATCGGGTGCCATTTGGGCAGGCTGGACGCAGACCGTCTCGGCAAGAGCTGCATGCGCTGCTTGCCAGAACTGTTTTTGCCTTGGGGTGGGACTGACATGCCGACCTGACATGCAGCGACGAGGTGCTTTCCGGCAAGCTGGCCACTGGAGGGCTGCCTTGGTGCTCCTACAGGATGCGGATGAGGGGAGGAAACCGCATGCAAATGTCGAAGTGGGTCGGATAGCCCTCCGTGAATCTGATTGAGGAGTTACCTGCAGCACCCTTGCAAGACGCACTGGGTGCCTGTGCTGACATGGGCAAGTGGCAATGGGCAGTTGCTGCCTGGTTGCAGCGAGCGCAAGGAGGTGTGAACGGCTTTGTTGTGGCTATGGGTCAGTGGTTTGTCTATTTTCTTTTGGTCATATTCTGCAGTGGGTTTGGCTTAAGATGCGCCCACATGCGCCCACCTAGCAAGGAGCTTCTGCAGCAGATGAAGGCGGGATGGATTTACGGATCTTGAAGGTGTCAGGGATCCGGCTCCCAACGCCTTGCCCAAAAGTCAGGGTTGATTTTGCAACGCCGTGCAATTTTCCCAGCCCCAATTCCTGCAGGCACGGAAGCAGCCTTTAGAGCAGGGGACCTATGCAGATCTCATCAGCTCCTGTGCCAACGTCAAGCAGCATCTTGGGCAGCACATGGCAGTGGGTGTTCCGGGCAACCAAATGTTGGAGAATTTGTGCCGTGAATTGGTGGGGGCGTAGTCGCATGGCCGCTGCGCAGGTGGCAGCCGGCCTTAGGCCTTTTGCACGAGCTGGAGACCAGCCCTGAGGTTGAAGCTGGCCCCAGCGTGGCTCGCTGCGAGTTGGGAGTTGTTTGGACGAGTGTAGCCAAAAGAGATTTCGTGAGTTTGGATTTGCTGACAAGACGTGGCACTTTCCGCCTGCGACTGCCCCAAAGCCAAGCCCGATTGCCCAAGACGGCTGTCCGGTCCGAGTTATCCATTCTTCCCACTCTCACCTGAGGCCAGCCTGTACAACAAGGTGATCAGCTCATTTGTGAGGGAAGCCGCCTGGCAGAGGGCGCTGTGGCTCCTGCACGAAATGCCGGGCCGGCAGGCCCGGTTTCATCCCAAACGGGAATTTGTGGTTCCCCGGTCCGCACCCACCAGAAAGGCAGATCCGTGTTCGCTCATGGGAACCTGTGGTTGATTCCTGGGTCCCTTTTTGTGGGGACCACCTTGTGCGGAGAACAGTGCCCCCATCCTTACCCGCCAGCTGAAATGGGTATTTTCCCTTGGTTTCAGGGAAGCACCTCAAGGGCGTAAGGGCTTGAAATAATCTCTCCCCCCCCCCACCCCCCACCCCCCCCCACCCCCGGAAACGAGATTCAGCGATTCATTGGGCCTCGAACCCCTAGAGGTGCAGCTGGACGTGGTGACCTACGGCGCAGTGGCTTCGGTCTGCAACCGGGCCAGGCCCAGCCATACGGGTGCCCCCTGAAGGGAAGCTAAATGGCAACCGCTCTTTTCGTGGAACGCGGGGAAGCAAATTTGGCTGGTTTCATGCGGGTTTCTTTATAAAGATGGGTTGCAATGTCTGGGCACTGCTGCAAATCTAAACATGCATTGGGAGAAAGGCGGCAAAGGACAAGGTTTCAGCTCAACCATGCCGGTTTTTACGGAGCACACAGCGATAAGGTTCCTTGCGTCGTGCTTGCCATTCCGTGCTTTGCTGACAGTCCTTCTTGCGAGGTGGTTTGCCTCCTTTTGCCTTGAGCTACTGCTTGATGGTTGCTGCCAGTGGTCAAGTCTTGAATTTCGGGTAGTGCGGTGATTCTGTGCTCGGAGTCAGCTCACATTCTGCAGCTCCCGTTTCCATCTGGCTTTCCAGCAGCCTGCTTCGCATTGGTATGCCAGGCAATCCTTGTATACGTTGCAGTTGCACGAGGAGATGGTGAAGAAGGACCTTGCAGTGCAAAATGCGATGCTTTATTTGTTCAGTGCCAATGTTCAGTGTGACCAAGGACATCCATCCAGACATTCCGTCCTTCAAGGTGGCTGCAACTCGGCTGAATCAGGGCAAATGCTCATGCTTTGCAACTTGGCACGTGAGTAGAGCCCCTAGAAGACCGTTGCGCAGGGAGTTGCGTGGCCGTATGGAAACTCTCAAGGTCACAGCTTGCCGGAGGATGCGCCTGGGCAAGCAACATGCTTGATGTGTCAGCGGATCCTGGGGGCTGGTTATCCCTGGGTTCGTTCTATTTATTTGGACTGAGGATGAAGCTGTTGCTGCAGGCATCCCCACAGAAGAGTGGTCGGCAGAAATTGCTGTAGGCTGGGCATGTGGAATATGTCGGCCTTGTTCACTTTGGCCATGCCTCAAGTGCATCTCTGCCAAGCGCATGAAGGCCTTCCGCACCGCCTGTTGCTGGATTTGTTCACCGACCGCTGCGGGGGTTGGCTAGAAAATGGCCGAGTGCAATCGTGTTTGAGGGCAAAAGGCGTGGCCCTGCTTTCAGCAGAGGCGTGATTTCCTGTGCACTTTCAAGGCCGAGCACCCGGAAACGACATCCAAGTCGAGCTGCGAGGGTGCTCGCAGCGGGCCCAGACGTTTGCAGCTGTCTGCTCCGGCCATTCAAAAGCTCTGCGCGATGCCAGGCAGTTTCACGCGGAGATCCGAGTGCAAGCTGAGGCATGGCTTGCAGGGCTGTACTTTCCAAGGCTAGATGCTTTTTGTTTGCAGGATGGTCGGCCTCGATTAGTGGCCGCAGCCCTGAGTTGGTCTAGCCCGGTGACTGCATGCTGTTCAGTAGTTTGAGAGAGCGATGTGCTGATCCGGTTGTGTGCAGAGGTCCGGGACCTGTCCATGAATGGGACAGGTCTGAAGCTAGGCGATGACAAGCCAGCTGCGAGGGCCTTGGTGATTGGGGTGACGCGGCAAGTCCAAATTGCTGACTGAGGTCGGAGCAAAGAAGGATCAGGACGCCAGTTGCACGTCTTCATGCCTGGGGGGTGGGTGTTGAAGATACGGACTTTGTCCTTAAGTGGTGCAGCAGTGAGGATGTGCCGCTTTATCATGAGATGCAGATTCTGGCTCAATCCTCAGACCTTGCAGCGTTTGAGATGCACGCGACTGCGATAGACTCGTCCTTCCGGACGACTTGCTCGCTGTTGTTCTGTTTGCAGGGCTCTGCACGTCCTGGCTTTGCACATCCTTTACCAAGGCTGCAAGCATCATGCCTTGGTCAGGGGGCGCTGGTGCCGAGATCATCGGCAATCGCGTATGGCCATTTTGGCTCAGACTCCCTGTTCAAAGCAGGAGCTCAGGCGTGCGTTTGGCCATCCAAATTCCAATTTCATAAGCCTCTCATCTGATTTGTCAAGAGGCTTTTCCGTCCTCTATTGATTGTGGCTATTTTGCGCAGTGCATTCCATTATGGTCTCTGGTTGTGCCTGAGGCTTTACATCGCGCGTGGGCATGACAGCCCTGATTTGCCTGGCCTTGTTGGCCCTTTGCGGCGCAGTCAACGTTCAAGAAGCGGGGTAGCCCGCCTGCAGCTACGGCAGTTCTTTTTTGAGGGGGAGGGGGCAAAGGACGGACCTGACAGGCTTGGGAAAGTGTTGCTAGTGGACAGTTGCGAAGCAGTATCCACCTGGCTTCAATCCAAGGAAGCGCAGAAGCGATGCCGAAGTTCGAGCAGATGGCTCGGTGCGATCGGCCGCGCCTTGGCTTCCATGCGGAATGGGGTGATGGGCCGGGAGTGGCCTGCGGGCCGGACTGCGAGAGGGACGGTGCTCAGGCCATGATGCGCCGCCAGAGGGACGGCGAGCTGAACGACGAGGACCGGGAAAATGCATTTCAATCTGGGTAGGCAAGCTGCAAATGCAGATAGGAGTTAGGCTGAGCATTTTGCGCCATGTGCAGGCAGATGACCCACCAGAGACTACCACAATTTTTGAGGAAGGCGTCAATAGCAGCTTGTTGAAGCTGCAGGAGAAGAGAACAGCGGAAAGCAAGAGTGCAAAGGATGCACGGGCCTTAAAATCAAGCTTGCCCTTGCTACGGTAGCAAAAGCCACTGTTCTTGGAAAGGCCGGAGATCCTGATGAGTCAGAAGATGAAGAAGAAGAGGAAACCACCACAACCGAAGCAATGGAAGATGATGGAGATGGCCTGCCTAATGGGGACATGCTGATGTCCGAGAGGCAGTTGGCTGCAAATGCCAGCATTGCCAAGAAGGAGGCAGCAGACGATGAGAATGAGCGAGATGAGACGGAGCCTTCGCATGATGAGACTGAGCCTTCCGGGGATGAGACTGAGTCCGACGAGGCGGAGAAGGAAACGGTAGATGACTCCACCGCAGAAGAAGAGGAATCGGCAGACTCGACATCGGCAGATTCCACCGAAACGGACTCCGAGCTAGATGAGGAGGACACGGTAGCGGAACTGAGCAGCTTCAAAGACGGCAAGCCAAAGGATGCAGCGAAGAGTTCAGCGAAGACCAGTGCAGGCAAGGAATTGAGTGGGGCCAGGGCTTCAAAGAAACCAACGCGAACAGCCCTAACAGATCTCTTGTTTGTCATGCTTGCAACAGCCATCTTCGAACTCAAGTTGGGCTCTAAAACTGCTCTAAACGATATCCGCCCACAGAGTGCAGCATGCGAGGCTCACACTCTTCGCATCCGAGCTCTGCGTGCCCTGGCCGCCGTCGCCATTCCCAGCATGCATGATTTCTTCGTGCTGTTCTAGTCGGAGTTTGGGGCTGAGGAAGTCTGAGCATCATGCATCGGCCAAGAAAAGAGTCTTGGCAACATTTGCAGTCTCTTGTTTATGCGATTGGGTGCTTCTTGGCCGCAGCGCCAAAACTGCTTTAGCTGGGCTGCGCGTCCATCAGACGCAGAGATCCATTGAACATGGCTGAGGCAAGGGTAGCAGCAACCAGGCAGGCTGCCCCCCAACCGTCAATGCTCTCTGCAAGATGCGCAAAGTTAGGAACGTCTGAGAGGAGTCCCAGTGGTTGCACGCGTCTTTTTCCCAGCGCTCTCCGTCAATTGTGGCACTTCCCAGGCTCAAAAAGGCAAGCCCGCTGTTCACCATCACAGCCAGCGGCTCCTTGGCACTGGCTTACGAGTCACGCCAAACATTCAGGGCTTCGGATGCAAACAAACCTACCAGGAAAAGCGCAAGCCTGGTTTCTGAAGCAGAACTGCAAGCGGCTGGCACCACGCTGACGACAACCTACTATTTCACGCTTGTCTCCAGCAACAAGTTCTGCGCCACTTGCTTGCATGACAGTTCTTGAGTTGCTGCTGGTAATTAGTGGCCATGGTGGCAGGGCTGGATGTGTGTGTGATGCCGAGGCAAATGCAAATTCCGGCTACAAGAAGAATGTGGGCAACTACCAGACAAAGGCTTGCTTCGAGCGCCCACCTCAAAGTGAGCTGAGTCATGTCCGTGATTGTGCGTTTTGCCATGCAAAAAAAAAGGTGACAAGGTTTCCGGAAGGCTGCCGGAAGCTTTCATTTTTTGGAGCTTGGGGAGTCACGGGGTCCAGAAAAGCGGGGCAAGGTATGTGCTGAACGACGCATCTTGCGGGAAGTACTTCGACTTTGGCGTGGTGGACGGGGCCTGCGACTGTGTCCCCAAGGAACAGACCAACTGCAAGGAAGCAGATGCAGAGAACTACCACGTGCACCTCAGCCTTCAGACTTGGACTTTTTCTTGAGTTTTCTGAGCGGAGTTCTGGCACACGTGGCAAGGTACCTGGTCCAGAAAGGAGGTCCGGAAGCTCTGTGCCCTGGCTTGTGGGTTCTGTTGCTCATTGGCTTCACCGTGCTTTTTGCTGTTGGTCTGCTACAGCGCTGCTCGTGCTGCAGTTGCGTTGGAACAGATTGAAGCTGTAGGGGTGCGCATATCTAAGGGTGCAAGTGGACGATCAAGGCATGGCCGTGCAGGTGCGTGCCGAGCTAGCTAGCCGCGCAGTTGCCGTTGTCACTCTTGCTTTCAGGCCAATGGCGACCCACTAGAGCATCACGAAGCAAGCGATGACTGAAGGGCCTCATGAAATACCCCATGATAATGTCCAGATGCCCTGCGCGAAGAGAGCAAGAAAAATGCAGAGCGTGGAGCTGGCGGGGTCGCCTCCTGTTGGAGCCTTTCTGGTTTCAGCAGGCTTGAGCTGGGCACCGGAGGGCATGTTCGCAAGAAGCCCAGCCACGAGGTCTGGCCCGCGTGCTGAGGTGCCCTTTCAGCTGAAAAACACCCAGACGCCCAATGATAGGGCCCGTGCCTCACAACAGCTCAAAACACTTTGTCAACATGCCGAACCAGCTAAAGATGCCCAAGATGCCTTGCAGAGTGAGGAAGCTTTTCCAAGGCCTGGCTAAAGGTGACTTTTGACGATCCTGAGCTGGGGGTGGCTGTCTGAGACGGGGCGAGAGGCTAGGGCCGGCTTTCGGAGCTGTTCTCTCAGGCGCCGGAAGTCGACAGGCAGGGCTTCGGCTTGCTGCACCCCTCATGAGTTAGCCCCGGTTGCGAAATCAGGAGAGTTTTTACCATGATTGGTGGGCCAGGGCATGTCATTTCCTTTTTCTGTATTTTCCCTCTCCTCCGGGGCAGAGCAACAGATGTCCCGTTGCTTCGTCCCGTTGCGTTTTTGCATGTTGGCATGCCAGCTGCCGGGCTCAAAAGCACGGGGCGCCATGGCCGTCCGCAGCCTCCAGCTGGGAGAGTCTTGGTCCAAAACAAAAGCGTCAACTGAAGCGAATTTCGTCCCTGTCTTGTGGAGTGATAGAGTGGCTGCCTCGCAAGCCAAGGCGCTTGCCCTCATCGTGGGCTGTGCTCTGGTGGATGCGAAGGCCAGTCCGTGATGCCGGTGACTCACGTGTTCGGGCTGTGGCGCCTGCAGGTAACGAGTGACGAGGGCAAGTTCTGCAGTGCCAAGTCATGCGATGCAGCGCCTTGGCAGCTCGCAGTGGGGCAAACTTGCAAAAAGTGGCATAGAGCAAAGGGAGTCGCTGGGCTACTGGGTTACCTTCCCTTGGGCAAGCCGTGGCCAGGAAGGGCACTGTGAGGAGCGGGGCTGCTCCATGCTCGATGGTGGAGCGGAGGCTTCGAAGCCGGCGGCGAAGGGCAGCACGGCATCGAATTTGCGATCGCTTGGATGTTTTGGGCACTGGAGGGGGAGCTGCTCGGCTGCCCCAACGTGAGACGCGAGCCGAGGCATGATCATGTCATGCCAGGGCCCGCAGCCCAGACGCCAGCGGCACGAGAGGGACCTCAAGATGGGTTTGTCGCACGTTTGTCTCTCCGCAGGCTGAAAGTTAAACCACTTTGCTGACGTGCGCCGCTGGCTGAAAGAGGAGAAGCGCTGGAGGGAGTGGCAGAACCTGGAGGCTGGGCGCTCTCGTGGCTGAACGCGGAATTCGCGGATCTGGCAGGTTCGATGGATCCAGGGCCACAACCCCGACCTCGTGGTGTTGGAAAATGGCAGCGAGAAGGAGTGGGAGACAAACGGCACCATTGGATTGACAAGCTAGAGCCCACGTTGCTTGTTTTTATTCCGAACGGCTTGGCTGAACAAAACCTATTCCACGGTGTCAGGAGAGGATCGACCTCACCCAATACTCCTACAGTCGTGGTCTCAAAGCTGAAAACGCAGCACAGAGATTTCAGGCTGCGTGCCATCACTGACACTCGCAGTGGCCCAGAGAGCGGTCATGTGTGGCGACACCAAGGCCAGATTCCCGAGATGCTGCGGCAGAAAGGTTTTCGCTTGCAGGGCGAGCTCTAGGTAGTGTGCCTTCGGGCGGCTCCAAACTTTCTTCCTGAAATTGTTTCTAGTACGCGTAGTGTTTGCAGCCGCCCTGAAATCTGGCAGCAAGTGTTTTGCCAAAGCACTGCACTGAATACGACTTCGGCTTCTAGTGGCAGCGCTGTGACTTTGTCGGTCGGCATGAGCAAGCGAGTTCTGACTAAGCTTCCACATTTCGGCCCATTCCGAAAGTGCGACTTCAGGTGTTTCCTTTTTCTTCTGAGGGAATGCCGGCAAACTGCACGGCTCCTGGCGGGCCCCGTGCAACCCTGCGAGTGAGGCTGTGCCCCACACTTGGGGGGCGAGCTGAGTGCAGGGAAGCGGGCCGCGAGGGACCCTTCGAGTTTCTGGGGCCAATGGCCCGAGAAGCAGCTTGCCCAGCGACAGCGGGATGCCAGAGCATCCCAAAGACCAGCGGTTCTGCGAAACAGCGTTTCGGTTGGTTTTTGGTCTTCATAGCTCCCTCGGTTTGTCACCATCCTGTTGCTTCGAGGCAGTCCGGTGCGGATGCTGGAGGAGGGCCTGCGCCTCAAGCAGGGCAGGGGTGACCAGGCTGATTGGGCGAACGCGCTGGCCGCTGGAACGGCGATTTTGCCGAGTCATTCTCCCATGGTCTTCGTAAGGGAGGGCATGAGATTGCCATCAAAGCCCAGGCCCGACAGAAGAAAAAGGCAGCGGCCTCAGCCAACCTGGCGAAGCAAAGGGTGACCCTTCCGGCCCTGAGGTCTGCTACTGAAAATGGGGAGAATGGCAGAGGTGATGAGGAGAAGGAAGAGAAGGAGGACAAGGAAGACAAAGATGAGGAGGAGGAGAAAGATGAAGAGGAGGAAGACGACGGTCGGATCCTTAGGGGCTGTTTCGGTGGGTGGCTGAACTAGTCATGGTGCGCCCTGTGGCTTCATGTCAGGAGAAAAGGACGACGGAGCCCGGGAGCAGTGTCTTGGCTTGCATCGCCATTGTTTTTTCTAAGGTGAGCCCTGTCAAAGTTGGTGCGTGCCCCCACCCCCCCAAATTCTTCTGGAGTATATTGTGAGTGGTGCACGTTTCTTCCCTTGACTCAAGATACCTGGCAACCATCCCTTTGCAGCACTTGAGCACCAGGTTCGTGGACCTGCTGATGAAGCTTCGGGCCTAGCGTGGTGCGAGTTGACGGTCCGTTGGCCACGGCGGCCTTGCTGGTGGTATTTGTTGCCTTGTAGCCGTCAGTGCACTTGGGCTGAGGACGAAGGAGATTTCCGTGGGCACAACGTACGAGGAGAGTAGGGTGGCGCGAATGAAGTCAAGCGGCGCTTAACATGCCATGCCCTTGGCGGGTTGCACATGGCCACAGGAAGCTGAAAGCTTGCTGAGTAAGAAGTCGGCCTGGAAGGCTCGGGTGAAAGGGGCAGGAGCTGGATGTGATCCTTGTTCATCATTTACTCTCCGTACTCTCCGAGCTATGAGGCTTGGTGGCAGCTTCATATTGAATGGCAGGCCGTGGACGCGCCAACGAGAAAGGAGTGCTTCGAAATCTTTGTGGACCACTTGGGAAGTCACGCAGGCGCCAATTGCCAACTTTGCTTTGCTAGTTGGCGTTGGTCACGGGAGTTAGTCAGTGAACCTTTTGTTGGGCCAAGGGAAAAAGAAGAAGAAGAAGGATAAGGCCTGGGCTCATGCCCAATCGGGCATGCAACTGCTCTTGACGCCGCCGTGCAATTGACCTCCCCGAAGTTTTTCGGAACAGGGGACAGGGGGGACAGGGCAATTGACCAAAGCTCTCTCTCTGACGACCTGTGCAAGCACACAGTGTCGGCTAAGGGCACGCAATGCAATTTATGGACAATCTGTGCATGCACAGAGTGTCGGCAAAGGGCACACCATGCAATTGATTGCATGACAGTGAATGTTTGCACAGAGTGTCGGCAAAGGGCAAATCATGCAAATGATTGACAATTTGTGCGTGCAAAAAGTGTCGGTACCCATGCAACTGATTGACAATCTGTGCGTGCACAAGAGTAGTGGCAAAAGGCAAACCATGCAATTGATTGACAATCCATGTTTGCGCAGAGTGGCAAGCACAGAGGGGCGGCAAAGGGGAAACCGTGCAATTGATTGTCAACCTGTGCAAACACAGCAAGCCATGCAATCGATTGATAATCTGTGCATTGACCCTGTGTTGGCAAAGGGCAAACCGTGCAATTGTGATTGACAGTGAGTAGTGGCAAAGGGCAACACCTGCAACGGATTGACAATCTGTGCGTGCACAAGAGTGTCGACAAAGCGCCGGCCATGCAATTGATTCATAAGCTGGGACATTGACAGAGTGTCGGCAAAAGGCAAACCTCGCAATTGTGATTGGCGCTTCGTGCATTCACAGAGTGTCGGCGAAGGGCAAGAAGTCGAAGAAGTGCCAAGCTTAGTTTGCGTGCAGCGCCAGTGGGCCAACACTCTCTTGACAACCGCGCATGTGCAACGCGGTCGCAAGTCTGTGGAGGAGGAAGCACAGGGCAGATGATGACGAAGAGGAGGAAGAGGAGGAGGAGGAAGATGGCACGCGTGGAATCCTTATTGTATCTGAAAACCATTGGGTTGAAGCAGGGCCATCACCATGTTGTCTAGTGCTATTTTTGGCTGAGGCAAAAAGAAGAAGAAGAAAGGCGAGCTTGACAGCTGCAAAGTAAGGGAGGTCACTGTGAACCAGCATTCCCGCAGACCCCACTTGCTGAGATCAACCCTGGGCTTATGGGCATCCAATTTGCATAGGCGAGAGGAGAAAGAAGGCGCGGAGTGCTTCCACCTGAGTGGGAGAGGCTGGTCCTTCCCCACGGGAGTGGCAGGGTGCCAGCCTAGGGCCGTTGCAATCGCACTCGGCCTAGCGCATCTTAAGACAGGAAAAGCACCGGAGTCGGCGCGCACCGGGTTCCAGAGTTCCACTTCGGGGATGTTCAGGTTTCAAGGTAGAGGCGCTGTTGCTTGGTGGCACGGAGCAACGTGAAAGTGGCCACTGCCATTGCTGCTTGCAGTGATCAGTAGGGGGCTGTGATGTCGCACCCGCCGCGTGGCAAACACTGCCGTGGCCGTGCGAATGTACACAGCCCGGGCCTCAGCCTTGTGCTGCAGGAGCTTGTTCAAGCTAGTCGCCTTGGTTCCAAGGGAGTTTGCACACTCTGGATTGCATCAATCAGAAACTCCTCCGAGGTGGAGAATGTTCCAGAAACGGGGCGTAACTCCAGAGTGGAATGCATCACGGTTACATATTTATGACGCGGTGGTTTCCCTTGAAACCGCGATTTTATTCTATCATTTTGGGATGCCCTTTGGCCCCAGTTTTGATAGGAACCCAAGCTCTGGAGAAATCCACCAAGCTACGCATTCCTTACATAGGGCTGCTTTTCGCAGGCTGAGCACCTGCTGGCGAATGCAGCCGGTCAGGCTCTCGCGAAGCGAAGCGCTGATGAAATGCCGCAGGCCATGCTCGCTCGTGTTGCCCCAACTGACACCCGTATAGCTTCGTCTCTGGGGCCCCAAAATGCGTGATCTTCCATCGGCTTCCTTTTGAAGCTGCCTGCAAGACAGGCCCACACCCATTTTGATTCCAGCCTGCCCGCAAGTAAACTCGGCACCTGGCGCAGGCGTGGGATGCACTCAATCGCTACATCTCCGAAGTTTTCGGCAAGAAACAGACATTGAACGTGTCGAAGCTTGTGCCGCATGTGAGCGTGCACGACACCCCATACCAAGCCCCCAAGTGCAGCCCCCCCCGTTTCCTTGCCAAGGTCAGAGAAGAGCCCAGCAGCTTTCCACGTTGCCGAGTTGTTTACTGTATGCCTTGGTGTTGCATGGCTCAAGTTTGAAGTCGACGTGTAAAAGCCCTGTCCGTGCTCATCGCCTTGCGTGTTCTGTGCCTTGCAATGACCAGCACAGACTTTGAGGTGTTGAGCGACGCCCGTTCCATGGCAAGCTGGAACGTGGTGGACACCTCTTCCAGTAGAGGTTTGCAAGCAGAGGTGGCGTTGGAGAGAGATGTCATGACATTCCCAGCGGATGACGTGAAGGCAGTCCTTTCAGTGGTTGCCCCATGTGCGGATGACAGTCACCGCGCGCCCTTGCGGCTGGTGGCTGTGCTGGATAAGTCTGGGTCCATGCATGGAGAGAAGATGCGCTTGGTGAAGCAGACCATGATCTTCATGTTGCGATATTTGTCCGACAAAGATGCCTTGGGTGTGGTTGAGTATGGCTCCGATGCAAAGGTCGTTGCGCCGCTGACATGGTGTGACCAAGATGGCCGCAACCGACTTCAGCATGCCATCGAACGGATTCGCATCGATGGGCAAACCAACCTGTCAGGTGGCTTGATCAAGGGGCTTGAGCTGCACAAAGGCAAGCCACGCCGCATGACAGCTGAAGCTCCCCAGCAGGCAGTTCAGGTGGGCAACTTGTACCGCCGAATTGCTGCGGAAGACGCGGCGGCCAGGGTGCAGCGGGGCGAGTTCTTCGGGCGCGACGATATGGCCATGCCCTCGGATGCCGAGCGGGTTCACGAATGGACCATGGCGGTACGCTTTGGTGCAGAAGATCAACGCCTCGTGAAGAAGGTCGTCTTCAAGCTCCACGAGACCTTCCGCGACCCCGTGGTGGAAGTGACGGCAGCTCCCTTCGAGTTGAAACGCTTCGGCTGGGGCACCTTTGAGGTGAAGGTCGTTATCCACCTGCAGGACGGCCGTGAAGTGGAGACGAGCCACATGTTGTCCTTCGAGAAGCCGGAGACCTTCCGCACCGTGCTGCTGCCTCTGCGCACTCCGGGGCCGGCTCAACCGGCTCAGGAGAGCTTCTGGGGTTTGTGTGGCAGCTCCTCGGCAGATGACGCTTCCGAGTTGAGCGTTGAGGCGGTGGTCCGTTCCACCTTCCTGTTTACGGATGGCCATGCCAACCTGGGAATCACCAAGACTGAGGACCTCTCACAGGCGGCCGCGGGGCTGTTGGAAGAGTTGAAGGACTACAAGAGCAGCATTTCCACCTTTGGTTTCGGGGCTGACCACAATGCCGATATGCTCCGACGCTTGGCGGATACCACCACGGACGGCACCTACAACCACGTGGAATCGGAGGATCAGATCGCCGAGGCCTTCGGGCAAGCGCTGGGAGGACTTTTGTCCACCACGCATCAGAACGTCTCGATGACCCTGCAGCTGGCCCCCAACGTGAGCTTCCTTCGGGCCTACAGTTCCTACAAGCCATCCGTGGAGGATGGCCTGGTCACGTTGGACCTGGGAGATTTGTACTCCGAGGAGCGCCGTGATGTCTTGGTGTCCCTACGCCTTCCAGAGAGCCCCGAGGGTCAGCTGGAGGCAATCGGTCGCTTGGAGGCCCGTGGTTTCTCGGTGGTTACCAAGCGTAGCGAGACCAGCAACAAGGCACTGATGATCGAGCGAAAAGCGCAGGTGGAGACGTCTGCGTTGAACCATCAGGTGGAGCTGCATTGGAACCGCTACGTGACCCACGAGGCCCTTGAGAATGCACGCAGGGTGGCCGACCGTGATCTGAAACAGGCGAGAGAGATCTTGGACGCAGCCAGCGCCACCTTGGGAGCATCTCCTTTGGTGATCAACGGGGATCCCATTTGCTTGGGGCTCTTGAGCGACCTGCAGGAATGCAAGGCAGATTTGCGGGATCGCGACGATTACTTGTTGAAGGGCTCCAAGAAAATGGCCATGATCAGTTGCATGCATGGCAAGCAACGTGCCGCCGGTAGTGCGGACAAGAGCATGTACACGAACTTCAAGATGAAGGAGTATGGAACTGCCTTCAAGATGGGCATTGCATAGTGGCTTCGGCTGTCTGAGTTTTGTGATGCGAGGTGCTATAGAGAATCGGTGAAAGCGTCAGTTTTATGGCGTCTGTGGTCAATTTTCGAGGGACTCGCCAAATGTCCCACAAGCCAGGAGACTCACTAATTGTCAAATGTCCTTTACGGGAACCACAGATTCTGACCGTTGCTCATGTGCACTCGCTGCGAGCGAACTTGTGCAGTGGTTCCAGGCTCGCATGAGCAGACACACAAGGTGTCTTCGAGCAGTTGTTGGCAAAGCTGGCTAAAATGACACTTTTCTTGCCATACTTGAGGGGCAACGGCTACGACTTTTGCAACCCCACTTTTCTGGGAAGGACAGCCAGGGACCCTGCCAGAAGTGAAGAACCCCTTCCCCCCTTTCGGTTTTGTCCACGGCCAAGGATCCCTTGGAGTCAGAAGGCACGAGACCATGTTGGGTAGCATTTGTTTTGGTTTCCTCAGCGCAGGCACCAAATCAACTTAAGTCAACCGTTGCATGGCTCAAGTTTGAAGTCGACGTGTAAAAGCCCTGTCCGTGCTCGCCTTGCGTGTTCTGTGCCTTGCAATGACCAGCACAGACTTTGAGGTGTTGAGCGACGCCCGTTCCATGGCAAGCTGGAACGTGGTGGACACCTCTTCCAGTAGAGGTTTGCAAGCAGAGGTGGCGTTGGAGAGAGATGTCATGACATTCCCAGCGGATGACGTGAAGGCGGTCCTTTCAGTGGTTGCCCCATGTGCGGATGACAGTCACCGCGCGCCCTTGCGGCTGGTGGCTGTGCTGGATAAGTCTGGGTCCATGCATGGAGAGAAGATGCGCTTGGTGAAGCAGACCATGATCTTCATGTTGCGATATTTGTCCGACAAAGATGCCTTGGGTGTGGTTGAGTATGGCTCCGATGCAAAGGTCGTTGCGCCGCTGACATGGTGTGACCAAGATGGCCGCAACCGACTTCAGCATGCCATCGAACGGATTCGCATCGATGGGCAAACCAACCTGTCAGGTGGCTTGATCAAGGGGCTTGAGCTGCACAAAGGCAAGCCACGCCGTATGACAGCTGAAGCTCCCCAGCAGGCAGTTCAGGTGGGCAACTTGTACCGCCGAATTGCTGCGGAAGACGCGGCGGCCAGGGTGCAGCGGGGCGAGTTCTTCGGGCGCGACGATATGGCCATGCCCTCGGATGCCGAGCGGGTTCACGAATGGACCATGGCGGTACGCTTTGGTGCAGAAGATCAACGCCTCGTGAAGAAGGTCGTCTTCAAGCTCCACGAGACCTTCCGCGACCCCGTGGTGGAAGTGACGGCAGCTCCCTTCGAGTTGAAACGCTTCGGCTGGGGCACCTTTGAGGTGAAGGTCGTTATCCACCTGCAGGACGGCCGTGAAGTGGAGACGAGCCACATGTTGTCCTTCGAGAAGCCGGAGACCTTCCGCACCGTGCTGCTGCCTCTGCGCACTCCGGGGCCGGCTCAACCGGCTCAGGAGAGCTTCTGGGGTTTGTGTGGCAGCTCCTCGGCAGATGACGCTTCCGAGTTGAGCGTTGAGGCGGTGGTCCGTTCCACCTTCCTGTTTACGGATGGCCATGCCAACCTGGGAATCACCAAGACTGAGGACCTCTCACAGGCGGCCGCGGGGCTGTTGGAAGAGTTGAAGGACTACAAGAGCAGCATTTCCACCTTTGGTTTCGGGGCTGACCACAATGCCGATATGCTCCGACGCTTGGCGGATACCACCACGGACGGCACCTACAACCACGTGGAATCGGAGGATCAGATCGCCGAGGCCTTCGGGCAAGCGCTGGGAGGACTTTTGTCCACCACGCATCAGAACGTCTCGATGACCCTGCAGCTGGCCCCCAAAGTGAGCTTCCTTCGGGCCTACAGTTCCTACAAGCCATCCGTGGAGGATGGCCTGGTCACGTTGGACCTGGGAGATTTGTACTCCGAGGAGCGCCGTGATGTCTTGGTGTCCCTACGCCTTCCAGAGAGCCCCGAGGGTCGGCTGGAGGCAATCGGTCGCTTGGAGGCCCGTGGTTTCTCGGTGGTTACCAAGCGTAGCGAGACCAGCAACAAGGCACTGATGATCGAGCGAAAAGCGCAGGTGGAGACGTCTGCGTTGAACCATCAGGTGGAGCTGCATTGGAACCGCTACGTGACCCACGAGGCCCTTGAGAATGCACGCAGGGTGGCCGACCGTGATCTGAAACAGGCGAGGGAGATCTTGGACGCAGCCAGCGCCACCTTGGGAGCATCTCCTTTGGTGATCAACGGGGATCCCATTTGCTTGGGGCTCTTGAGCGACCTGCAGGAATGCAAGGCAGATTTGCAGGATCGCGACGATTACTTGTTGAAGGGCTCCAAGAAAATGGCCATGATCAGTTGCATGCATGGCAAGCAACGTGCCGCCGGTAGTGCGGACAAGAGCATGTACACGAACTTCAAGATGAAGGAGTATGGAACTGCCTTCAAGATGGGCATTGCATAGTGGCTTCGGCTGTCTGAGTTTTGTGATGCGAGGTGCTATAGAGAATCGGTGAAAGCGTCAGTTTTATGGCGTCTGTGGTCAATTTTCGAGGGACATAGGGGGGTGCTCGCCAAATGTCCCACAAGCCAGGAGACTCACTAATTGTCAAATGTCCTTTACGGGAACCACAGATTCTGACCGTTGCTCATGTGCACTCGCTGCGAGCGAACTTGTGCAGTGGTTCCAGGCTCGCATGAGCAGACACACAAGGTGTCTTCGAGCAGTTGTTGGCAGAGCTGGCAGACTTGAGGAGAAATCACACAATTGGCGTCTGCAACGCAAGCTTTCAGGTATACAGCACCCAATCTGTTACATCGCACCATGCTTGCAGCACCAGCGAGTCAGCAAGCTGGAGGTACAAGGCACCTGCTTGAAGCATCTTGACCTCGCAGGAACTCTACAGAGTGGTTTGTGGATTTGAACCCCCGGGTTTCTTCTAGAGGGTAAACGGGAAACCACCCCGGAACGTCTCCAAAGCCGATCAAGCCCAAATGTTTAGACAACTCCACCGTTCTGAGGGCGAAATGGGTTGCGTTCCCAAGCCACTGGACTTGCTTTTTTGGCCCCCATTCTTGTGGCAAGCGGTTCTGCGCTTCTGTGAGGGCCAGAACTTTCCAAATGACTTGACTTTGGGACACGTCCGACTTCTTAGCTGCTCTTGACTGAGCTTGCAACACGCTAAGGAATTTCTGCAGAATCGGCTGGAAGGACCGGGCGTGGGGTTTGCCTTGCAGAAAGCGGCGCGCTACGGGTTGGCAACCTTAAAAGCAAGGGCTGGGACCAGTCTTTAGGGGGAAGAAGGCATAGTTCATCATGTTTTTTTTTTCTTCTTTTTTTTTGGTGCTTGCTAGGTGGAAGACGGCTTGCACCAAGTCCAAATGAGGCGCAAAGTCACTAGATGGGGACGCGCCCCGTTTGCCGAGTGCCAGGCCACACTTCAACATCTCCGAGGCCAGGGCCTTGCGATGACCCGTGCCTCTCAAGAGGCCAGTCCCAAGCATCATAGGAGCTTCTGGTTTAGGGAGGTCGGGAAGCCAGATTCACGATTGGAACGAGTCCCAGTTAATCCCCTATCCAGACCATGCCCTTGAGCGCTGGTGTTGACTGGTTAAACGTTGGACTGAGGCCTTTGCTCGGAGCTGCCGCGCAGACTCGCGGTCCCAGCTGCACGCACCGCCAAGCCCGGGACTCGCTTCACGCCCTTCTTTCCTGAGCAAATGCGCCAGCTGAGGCCTCACCTTTGTGGAGGAGTCAAACCCTCAGCCCGGTTTCTGTGTCCAAGTCACGCAGGGTTTGCAGAAGGGATGCAGACAGAGTTATCACCTCTCAGGTTCAACTTCAGTAACTTGGCTCAATCGTGCAGCTTTTGGGCCCAGACGCATTGGCAGCGACGATTCCGTGATCCAGTCCTCGTTGTGCAGTTGCTCCCTTTGCCCCCAAGATTGCTGCATTCCAACTCCAAGTGGAAAGGGAGCGCGGTGACGGATGCTGTTACGCTGGGTGCTGTTGGAAGTTGGAGGGTGATAGGCCAGGATGTTGGAAGTTGGAGGGTGGTACCCACTTTTAATGAGCTCTTGCCATTTAGGGTCTATCCTGGCGTGATGTTGATTGGCTGAAGCCGAGGTAAATGTGCGCTTCGATTCTCCGAGGGGCTATCCAAAGACCGCTTGTTCATGTGCCTGGCACTCAGGGAATTTTGCAAGGTTTGCTTGCATCCGGATTGATAGCTAGAGCGGCATCATGGGCTCCACCCCGAGACGGGGAGTGTGGTTGGGCTTCCTCGCCTGTATTTATGCTGTACTTTGAAGTTTAAGCTCTCGTGGTTGAGAAAATGCGACGCAGCCTGTTTCAGCCCGAGCTGTTCAGAATGCAACAAGATGCAACAAGGGACAACCTTCTGGGACCAGTGCGTGTGGCTTATGCATGCCGCGCCAAACCCTGCAGCCAGACAAAAGCACAGCATGAGCTGCCGGACACGCACAAGCGGAGCAGGTCATAAAGGTGGGAAGTAAGACTCCCCACACTTGCAGTCAATGTCAATCAAGACGTCCTGCTGGAGTTTTGCTTTCCATGGCCCGTCATTGGGTCTTCGCATGGACCCTGGCTGGATGCTCAGTGTGGGTGGGTGGGTGAAGGAATTGAGCCTGGTGCCAGGCAGCGCAGCTTCAGTTGAGATGGGCCTTCTTGGCAGATCCGGCGGAGCGTGCGGCTGGGGCTCTTTGGGGGCTCTTCGTGGGCGACGCGTTGGCCATGCCGGTGTGCCCTGCTCAGGCAAACAGACTGATTGAGGGTCCACTTGGCCTTTGCAGTTTTGGAATCGTCAGCCTCACCTGATGCATATTGGAGGCACTGGTACTACGGCGGCAGTCAACAGATTCGCCAAGACTTCGGGGGGCTGCTTTCTGGATACGAAAGGTCTGTCCACCCGTTCCCGGATTCTATCATGCAGCTGAGCAACACGGGCGGTGGAGGTCGTGGAGGAGATGAGGGCGATGTTGTCGGAGGCGTAATTTTACATGACAAGAAGGAGTACTGGAGGCGTGGCGGGCAGTTCCACTACCACCACACCTTAGTCGCAGGCCGTTTGGTTGGGCCAAGCCGGTGTTTCCTTGTTTGCACATGCCTAGAGACATGTTGAACAACCTCATTCTTTTCGCTCCCCTCCCATTAGGGATGGCCGGGGGCTTGTTCAGACCGAGGCGAGAACACGCTCGAAGCGTCCCTGGCGCGGGAGATGATGCGCAGCCTCACCGAAGCGAAAGGCTCGCTGTCCGTGGAGGACTTCCGGCGACGCTACGTGGAGTTCATGACCACCCCCGGTACCCACAACGACACCTACGCGTCCACCTGTCACAGGTGCCGGGGATGGCGCGCCCGGTGAATTCGGCTCACTAGGTATGGTCATCAATTGTCAGAAGCCGGAGTTTTTCCCCACCCGACAGGAAGGGGTTGTTAGATTTTATGTTGGAATCCGCGTTTGCGATGCTTCGACACCACGCCCCCACCCAGTATCCCGCCAGAGCAGCTCGCCGAGTATCCCGCTCGCCAGCGGATCCCGCCGAGTATCCCACCAGAGCAGCCCGCCAGTGGATCCCGCCGAGTATCCCGCTGAGTATCCCAGAGTAGCTCGCCAGTGGATCCCGCCGAGTATCCCACCAGAGCAGCCCGCCAGTGGATCCCGCCAGTGGATCCCGCCGAGTATCCCGCTGAATATCCCAGAGTAGCTCGCCAGTGGATCCTGCCGAGTATCCCGCTCAGTATCCCTTGCCGGTGGATTCTGCCGAGTATCCGGCCAGTATCGAGCCGGAGCGGCTCCCCAGCATGCGCCAGGATCCCGCCAGTATCCCGCCAGAGCAGCTCGCCAGTCTGGTTTTGCTGAATGTCCCGCCCGGCGCACAGTTGGGTTTACATTTCATGTTGGTGCCTTCATGTTTTGAGTGTGCCCTGAGGCTCGGAAAGGGTGATGCTTTTGTGTTGCTTTGGGTTCGGGTTTCTTTTTGGAAGGGGCTTGTTTTGTTAACGGAGCCGATGTTTGAGTTCTCGACATCGGCTCGCAGACAAGTGGAGTTTGACACACAGACAGGTGGATAGGGCTCTCAATGCAAAGCTTGTTGAGCAGTCCTAGGCCCCAAGCCACCCGAACACCATGCTTGAATTCACACAACGGTGTTCACGGTCGTAAGCTCGTGAGTGTGGAGGGTGGGATTGCTCGAAGCGAAGTTGTTTTTTAGGTGCTTGAGGGACAAACTCCGATTTCCCGTCCATTGTGAGGCTTGTCACTGTCGAGCCCGAAAGGCTTGGGATCCCTTCGCTCGACCCTGAGGATGTTCTTTCAGAAGTGGAAGCGAGGGGTGCCTCTGGAGCGCTGCCCCGACAACGATGGCCACAACGTGGACACCATCGACGGCCTGGTCCTACCAGGCGAGGTTCGGTCTAACCATCACGCCTACAATCAATTTGGGATGGACTTGCTCCCGTTTTACGAAGCATCGAGTTCTGCAGAAGAATCAGGGGGACTCATTTCCCCATGTGGGGCAGCGCTGCAAAAGGTGGTTGTTGGTGGAAAACAACTGAACATCATGAATCATAACCAACTGGTGACCTTTTTTGGGATCAATGCTGAAAGGCGCACAATGCAAATTTTTCCCCCCCCCCCCCCCCCGCCCAAATGACCGTTGAGGTGTGGTGGCTTTGGCGTTGTTGGTGCGGGGCGCTACAGTGGCGGAGGCGGCAAAGGAGGCGGTTGCCGCGCTGGCCGTGACGCGCTCCTCCAAGGTGCAGTTGGCTCAGTTGTCTATGACGCTTACTGCGGGGGGATGGGCAAAATCCGCCTTGCACCAGTGGGTAAGTGGTTTTCCGAGATAGGGCTTCATCCATTTGTTGCAGGATTTTGTGTATCCAAAGTGGGGGACGCACTCAACATGGTTGAACCAACAGAAGGTGGTCAAACCTGGTGGTCCCCAAAGGTGCCCACTGAACGTTGGGGCCAGGTCTCAACCACAAATACGGGGCGCAAGTTTTTTGGAAGTCCCACTTGAATACCAGGTTTTGAAATCTTGGGACAGCGGCCTTGTCCTGGTCGAACATACACTGGATTGACCCCCTGAGGCCAATTTGCTTTGGCTTAGCACGGTTTCGTTGCCGGGGACATCGTCAGTGTGCAGAAGGGTGTTTGGCCCTTCTTCCAACTTGGTGCCCAGGTGCTGCCGCAGTACATCGAAATCCTGACCCAGCTCCTCGCGCAGGCCCGCAACTCCAGCCAGCAGTGACCCCATGCCCCGCCCCATATCCGCCAGCCGCCAGCCGCCAGGTGCTGCAGGGCAAGAGCTTGGAAGAGGAAGCCAAGGAGACCTCCAACAAGGCAGGTTCACTGCGTTCGGTGCTTTGCCGAGAACTTTATCATAGTCATCATTATCATAGTCTTGATGTAGTCTTGTCCTCGGATGGGTCCTGTCCAGATCTATGGCTCCCGCTCCCTGATGCAGCCGGATCCTGCAGCTTGCCAGTATGGAAGCAGGGAAGCGCGGGCTGGAGCCCGGCTCACACGTGCGTGCCGCGATTGAGGTCGTCGCGTGCTACATCGGTCAATCCTTCCCTGCCTTGCCACGGCCTCGACGCGTGTGCTCGAGGGCAGGTCGGGCAGAAGCAAAGCGGTTGCCACGAACCTGGGTGCCGCAGCTCGGTCGAGTCTGGCTCAAAATGCGATGCCAGTTCAAGAGCACACCAAGAGAGCAGCAATCTCATCAAACTGCAACGCCTTACAGAAGGTTGCAACCTTGTGGGCTTGGCAGTCTGGGCGTCGGCTTTGACAGGGAAGATGCAGGAATCCTTGGCAGTCGAATTGCTGGGTTCTACTATCCAATGGCCAATGCTGGGCCACAAGAAGTGTCATGTGGCCCCAACATGCCATGGGAGCCCTTTGATGAGCCAATGCAATGGGGCCAAAGCCCCTGCATGGTGCCGCGCAGCAGTTGCTGGACGCGGCGTACCAGGAGGCGTGGCCGTGGTGTGGCATGTCGACACTTATTGGTGCTAACATGCACGGGCACAGCTGCCAGGCAGAATCCGAATTGACAGACTGCACAAGAGCCGGCCAAGAACATTGTTTCTCCAACAAGGAAATCGAAGCTGCGTTGATACAGCGAACATGCTCGCAGTGGGGTGATTACCATCATGGTCATCGGTTGAAGTCGCAAGCATTTGTCTTCATGGAGCTTTTGTGGACGCAAGGCAACTGGCCCTATATAATGGCTCCAGAAGAGAAACCAGAAACCTTGGCAGCCACAACTGCGCCAGACTTTCCTCCAAGCTTGGATTTTTCTGTGCATTTGTCCTACCGGGCATCAGGCTAAGGTGGACCAGTGAAATGGTTTGGCAACGTAAGTTCATGGCATTTAATGTGGCACGTGGTTTAACGCGTGGTAGCGCGCGCGGCCTAAGGCAGAGCACTTGGTGCTCGTGAAGCATGACCAGCCAGTGCCGGAGGAGAGCTCTCGCTATGCCCCAGCTCACCTTTCGCATGGAATGGCTTGACCCCACTTTTCATAACTCAAATTCTACCTTCCTAGGACCTAGACGAGTCAGGGCAAGTGTGCCTGGCAGGAGCTTCGGGCGCACTTGGCCTTCCTGGCTGCAGGGGGCGACCCCGCAGACGCGGCAGCTGAGCTCTTTGGGGACGAGGATGGGGCCTGATGGTCGCCAGCTGTGCCCAGGTTTGTCCTGCCACCTTGCAACTTAGGGCACTGCCAACCTTGGAGTGCAAGATGCACGCGATGCCATTTGCAAGACGAGTTGGTGTGCTTAGCAGCGAGTCGGCACGCGTCAAGGGAACCGAGTTCTTGTTTGCAGCCAAGCAACATCCGGCCTGACAGCCACAGCATGCCCAGCAGCAGTCCGGCAACAACCATTCCTAGCAGACAACAGCGCTTCAGTGAAGGGTTCCAAAGTGAACGCCATGGCTGTCTCCGAGGACTCTACAAACAACATGCAGTGAGCATTGAGCGTTGTGCGCGCTGACATTTTGCAGGATGGAGTGGATTGCGCAATGGAGTACTTGAGGGAGCAACAGAAAAAGGGCTTGCGCCAAACGGTTCGGATGAAGACTCTTCGCTGGAGCCAGGTTGGTTGGTCATGGGGAAGCTGGAAACATGTTTCTTTCTAGAGGCTTTGTGGCAGAG